AATTTTTCGGCCAATATCTTAATTTTTCGTCCACTTCCATGGCAATCCAACAATGTTTAATATTACGGGTGATACGTGTTTTGTTATTTAATAACAAATCTATGCTGCATTTTTGTAATCTTACATGTTCTCCTGGTTAAAAACATTGAGAAGAAATTCAATCAATGCTCACATCTAAAATGAGGGAGGGAACTCGGTGGCCGAGTGATCTAAGTAGTCGGACTGTATCACTAGCCAATCAACACTGAGGTTGTGGGGCAGGTGCACTCGACTCAAATCTTAATTGACTAGGATTGTCAGTTTTCCTATCGAAGGTCGGTGGTTCTCTCCGGGCACTCCGGCTTCCTCCACCAATAAAAACTGACCGCCACGAAATAACACAATAGTGTTGAAAGAAACGTTAAACACCAATCAATCAACCAACACAAAATGAGGAGAGAAGTAGCATATGCAAATCTTAACACTCTTAGACGTAATTTTAACATAGCTAGAGACTGAAAAGACAAACTATAACACAACGACAAGTATGACGACCATCATGCCGACCAGGGACTAAATTCAGGCTGCATTCATTTTGATTTAACATGGTTACTGTTCAAGTATCATAACTTCCTTGAATATCTTCCGTCATCTCTATAATAAGTGAAAAGAACGAATTCAAACTATTAATGATAATTTTTTATAACAAAACAATGAATTATTTTGAGAATGTTTTGATGATAATGTACATTACATGATAACGATGAACAATAAATAAAAATGAAAAATATATTCATCCATTTTCAATTTGTACATAAAATAAATGCCATTACTGATAACATAAAATTACACATTAACATTTAAAATAAATTATTCTTCAGAAGAAGGCGATCTTTAAAAGTTAAGCGCATTACATTTGCGCGCATTATGGTAGTAATTTTTCTTGAGATAGCAAACAAGATATTTTTGCATTTAGGCGTATTCACTTTACAGACAACGCAGGTAAAATATATCGATAATTCATGTAGAAAAGTTTAAATTAGAAAAAAAAGAACTATTGTTCAATATTTTTCATATTTGAGGTTATGCTTATCATTTGATCAATTACACTATTCATTCACAATGCATTACAAACTTTAATTCCAGATACAAGAGTAGAAAGTTGTTTTAGGCATCACTGTATTCAACAGAGACCAGATGTACTTCCAACGAACGGGAATAATTAAATCAGCGCATTCATGCATTTTGTGTCTCTTAAAATTTAACTTGAAAATTCAAACAAACAACATATATCAGTTAAAAAGACTTAATAAATTGGCAGCTATACGCAGAAGTTAAAAAGTAAAATCAAATATATATTGATATATTTGATTCATATTTATCCTGATATTTCATCAATTTCACCTATATCACACTTTGAAATGAATGTGCACAAATATCATTCAAAGCTTTGCGCAAATGTGTTGCTTTTTATACCCAAATGTAATAGTAATGCACACAAACATAATGAACCGTACAAAACTTTTTATAAACAAATGTTCCGGCACACTGACAAATACACATCAAGATCAAATCAAACGTGTACACAAAAAAAATGTACATAGCATATGTTTTACTATTTATATGTATTGCAAGGTTCTAAACGATTACAGCTGACTATTATTGAAAGAGCGAATACTTCCAATACTAAATTTTGTCCGAGAACATTTCTTGTGATTTCTTTTATAAATTGATTAAAAATGATTTGAAAGTTTAAAATATTTAAACTTTTAGACAAATAATCATATGCATTTTATTTCAGTCCATTCGAGAAAGAAAAAACAACTTTTAGATAAATTTGTGCATCGTATTCATGATTGGACAGTCCTAGTGCGTCTACGTTGTACTCACATATACTTAGTAAAAGGTTGCAGCAATTATATCTTCGAAAGTTTACTAGATGTAAATGTGAAGAGTTCCAAAGAATGTTTAAGTAGTCAATGAACCAAATTTGTGAATAATAATACAAAGTAATACATGCATGATTTGAATCAAAATGAGTGATCACCTTTTACAGATATTCACATGTTTATGTATAGAGGACTTTTGTGGTAAAATGCGAAAAAATTTACAAATGGGGCAATGAGTTACAATTAAATAATCATGCTTAAGATGCATTGTATTTAAATTCAAAATAATCGTACAAGATTTCCGTTAATTTGATGATAATAAAAATATTCTACATGAAACAAAGAGAAATGGTTCGATCTAAATAGATAAATCTATGATAACTCTTTTAGTTGATGACATATGATGAGGGAGGCGATTTCATTGAATAACCTCGGATCACATGTTTGTCGTGTGTGAGCCAGGATTCCAGGCTAACACTATAATTGTTCACTCTATTCAGCTGAAATGCGCACTGGTGACTTATCAATTACAACAGAGTAAATGTAGTTTTTCATAAACGTTTGAAATCGTTTTGAATATGTGCATTATTCTTACAACTAATGCGAAATCACATGGAAAGTTCATTTTCATATGATATTAATCATGTCACAAAATCACAACAAATTACAGTAAATCATCATTTTGCAGACTCCACCCAAGATTTTCCTGCTGCCCCGCAGTAGAAGTATTCATGTAAAGTTGATAAGTTACAGTATTACATACGTTTACTCTTCACTTGAAAATAAAACATATAATAATGTTTTGCTTATGTATTATATAACAAAAGCATATAATTATGTTCTGCTTAAGTATTATATAACACTTTGTTTCCCGGTGTACATTGTACCTTTTTCAAAATCCGAATCAATGTATGTAGTTGTCACTAGTTTGTCACCGGAAATATGGCCATTTTGGTCCTTACTTGATCTGATATCCGCTAAAGAATCAAGTGATCCTGACCGTTTTACTACCATTCTTTTCGACTTAGCTCTCTCCTTCCGTAAGTTCCGACTGAAAGAAAGAATATCTTATAAAACATAACCATATCATGCGCACAAATGACTTAGATTATTGAGATCTAAATAAATACATGAAAAGCTGAACATTTGTCCTTTACTTCTCGGGTTCTAAAAAAATGCAGAAATGTACAAAATGCCGATTTTATTGTAGTGTGTTAAATATATTTACAACAGTTTCAGAATCGGAACAATTTATAGCTTGATATATTTTACAGACACCTGTCTTATTTGGAAGACTGTATTCTGACTATCGCAGTATCGTTGTGTTGCTGTGTCATTGATGTCAAATCCAATACTACGTTTATTCACAATGTTCGCATGGACTTATTTCAACTTTTGTTCCTGAACATGGTACCTGAAACCATCCCCGGTTTTTGGTGGGATTCTTGTTGGTCAGTCTTTAGTTTTCAATGTTGTGTGTTGTGTACTATTGTTTGTCTTTTTGTCGCTTTTTCTTTTTTGCCATGGCATTGTCAGTTTGTTTTGACATATGCGTTTGATTGTCCCTTTGGTATATTTGGCCTCCCTAATATGAAAATTGAAAGTCAATAAATGGGATAAAGGTGTTTCATTTGAAACGCAAATTTGTCGAAATTATGTTTAGATTGTTTCATCAGGACTATCACGATTGCATGACCTTCCGTCTGAGTTAAAAATATGGTAGCTGTACACAAAAGCAAAGCGAAAAATTACTCAGTCTAACGTAGAAATTATAATAGTTTTTATTCACAACATTATCTTATCATTCTGGATAAAATAAAACTTGTACAGTTTGTCTGCATCACACGTAACGAGCGACGATCAATGTTTAGAATGCGTTTAACCTCTACTGATTTTTTATGAGGTGTGTTGTTCCACATACATTTGGGTAAATGGTTAAGCACAACTGCAGTCTTTCAAATTATCATCATTTTTTGTCAGATGGGTAAACTTTGAAGTTTTGCATGGAATTTCTGTGACATAGGAAAAACATGATATGTTTGATTCCAGTAAAATACCAGCGACTGAGTCAGATATTCGTTGTCAAGTTTTAAATACAGCGTTATTTGAAGGTACCAATCATTTTCCTGTAGAGGCTTATCAATGATTTGCACAACAGCGATTACATTCAAACGTAATTTCACTTAATGTTTTTTTTTAACATCTGTAATCATTTTTCCCACTCAGATTCATATCTTAGAACTTCGGATTCTTTGTAAAAGAAAATACCATTTAAAAAACATATCTGTGAAAATCTGAAAAACATCTTGGGGCATGACGGAATTAGAGTCGTCTGTTTGACAACTAACTACATGATTTGTAACATACTTCAATGTGGATATTTCAAAGGACAGTCGCGGATTCAAATTGTGTCCCTTCATCCAAGCGACATGAAAATGTTTTAAAACCAAATGATCATGTTTCTTTTCACTTTCACATAATTGTGACACTTGGGTCAGATCCATCATTACCAGCAAATAAGAGGCCGGTTGATTCCTTCCCGACAGGGCTAATTTTTCGATTTGAGTATTTGTTGTTTGTTTTATAGAGAATACGGTACCCTACATAACTTTAGCTATATTTTCGTGTTCCCCGGGTATGTCATTACACCTAAGATTTGTTGGCTAGGCATCATACTACCTTCTACAGGTAACTCATTACACAGCACCCGTGCTAACCTTGCTCGTTTCGGTCAGTTGTGAAATTGTATTCAGGATCCAAAACCTAGAGTAGTAATTTGAATTTGATTGCAAAATTTTTCCATCCACATTAATTGTTTTCTAAATTATTTTTACATAGACGATCATTGAATATCATATAAGTTCTATACTCAGTGATCGTAATACTAAACCTGTCAGAAGCCCGATTTTATTATAGCAATGGTCATAGTAATGCAAAAAAATTCTGCTGAGATTTAACTTTGTAGCAATTGTTGTGGTACAAAAGTACGTACTTGTATGACTGATAAAATCGAAGTCTTTAGTCTGACTTTTGGTATTTTAAGGCAGACTTAGTACAAAAATATACCACAGGAAAACGTATGAAATCTAAAACAGTCTTGTATAGAAAATCTAACATCGAAGATATTTTGATACAAAATCCAAATTAAATGCCGACATTTTAGTTAAATGCATTATCTCTATTTTAAAATTACTATCACTTGTTTACGTCAGTGCTTATCAAGGTAACTAGGTACGGCGTTCTGTAGTATGGCTTTAATTTGGTTAGAATTAAGTTTTTTCAAAGCCTTCGTTAGCCTTATGGTTTTGTTAGAAGAAACGAAAGGTAAGTAAAATTATTCATTCAAAAAAATTTATATTTAAAAAAAACAAAACAACTGTCTTTGTTCTTAATTTCCTGCTGTCGTCTGGGAGTCCCAGATGTGGTATAATTCATACCATAGACATATTGATTTATCTAAATTTAAAAATAACCCAACCATATTTTCGCTTACTAGTACATGTATTTAAATTGCATTTTTGAAACTTACAATTATATGCTCATGTTCCAACGTGGAATATGAAACAGCAATAATAAGAAGGGAACACTGAAATGGTTTTAAAAATCCCGGTGGCACAATACTTCTCTGAAAATATTTTGTTTTTTTCCCAAAACTGTGCAGTCACAAGCTCAAATTTGTTGAAAAACTGGACTACATTTAATATCAACTTTCCTCAAAATAAATTGTATAGAGGATTTTTTCCATTGTAGCCCAAAACAGTAGTTAAAACTGACGTTTGTCATTTCTGACATCAACCACTACTCTTAAGCCTGTAACAAATGGTGTTTATTTGTTCTTTGAATTTTTGTCAGGAGTCTTTAACTAGAGGCTATCAAGAGCCTGTGTCGCTCACCTGTAATTACTGATGCTTTGGAAATTATGTAAAATAAGGTTAAAATCATAATTAATAGTATTAGATATTAGATATTATAATGATATCTAAGATAATAACAAAAAACTGTAAAATTTCTGTAAAATTACTAACTCAGGGGCAGCAACCCAACAACGGGTTGTGGGATTCGTCTGAAAATTTCAGGGCAGATAAATCTAAATCTGATGAACATTTTTGCCACCTGTCAGATTTGCTCTAAATGCTTTAGTTTCAGAGATATAAACCAAAAACTGCATTTTACTCCTATGTTCTATTTTTAACCAAGTCGGCCATGTTGGTTGGAAGGCGGGGTCATCAGACAAATTTTTTAAACTAGATACCCTAATAATGATTATGGCCAAGTATGGTTAAATTTGTCTCAGTAGTTTCAGAGAAGAAGATTTTTGTAAAAGATTACAAAAATTTGTGAAAAATGGTTAAAAATTAACTATAAAGGGCAATAACTCCTAAAGGGGTCGACTGACAATTTTGGTACTGACGACTTATTTGTAGATCTTACTTTGCTGAACATTATTGCTGTTTACAGTTTATCTCTATCTATAATATTATTCAAGATAATAACCAAAAACTGCAAAATTTCCTTAAAATTACCAATGCAGGGGCAGCAACCCAACAACAGGTTGTCAGATTTGTCTGAAAATTTCAGGGCAGATAGATCTTGACCTGATAATCAGTTTTATCCCTGTCAGATTTACTCTAAATGCTTTGGTTTCAGAGATATAAGCCAAAATCTACATTTTACCCCCATGTTCTATTTTTAGCCATGGCGGCCATCTTGGTTGGTTGTCGGGGTCATCGGACACATTTTTTAAACTAGATACCCTTATGATGATTGTGGCCAAGTTTAATTAAATTTGGCCCAGTGGTTTCAGAGTAGAAGATTTTTGTAAAAAGCTAACGACGACGACAGATGACGGACGCCAAGTGATGAGAAAAGCTCACATGGCCCTTCCAGCCAGGTGAGCTAAAAATACAGATGGCTTCTATATCCAAAGGAGAAGAACACACCTGTCATTTTTTGTATGGGATTCATCAAAGGCCTTGGTGTAATTTACAGGCGTCTATAGATGAAAATAACTTCCGTCCATATATCATTTTTCAACCAAAAGGTTGTTCTTTTTTATTTAGAAAAAGGTAACAATCAATAACAGTGAATGTTTGTTTTTCTATAAACATTAATTTAATAAGAACAGTATAACAATAGAGATATATTATACTATGATTTTATAAGTCTCCGAGACTTGGCTAATAAATCTTGAATGCTTTTGTAGTTGTTTCAGGTGTGTTGTTTTGGAAATTTGTATGGTACTAAATGTCCTTTGCACTTTGCTGTTTTTCTAATAACATGACGCTTTCGAGAGTCTGTCTCAGTTAGCATTGACTTATGTGATAAAAATGTTTATTCTTCAAGGGCATTCAATATCAACAGGAACAATTTTAGAAAGCCTTGAAATCATTCAGTCTGAATTGTTTAATTGAAAAGATATTTGAGTGTTTTACTTCAAGGTACTATGTGAAAACCACATTATGGACCACTGAATGTAAACTTAAAAATACACTTATTCTACTACAATTTATGTAACATTTTCTTTAAAATTTCTGTTTATAGTAACAACAATCATATTGGTACGAAACAGTGGATAGCCATATATGGATGGGTATCAAATGTGTTGATTGAAAGTCAAATATCTAAGTAATTATCAGAAGAAAAAAAAAACATTTTGCATAGTAGATCAGATGATGGACAAACTTTAGGAACTGAACACACTATGGTCAATTTTGGTTTCAACTTATTTAATGGTCTTAGAAAACCAGAATTGTTTTTAAAAAGACATTAATAACTATACCTGTTCCTTGGTATATAAATTTCAAAGCCTCCAAGACAAAGTTTAAAGAGACTTGAGGTTTTTACTTCATTCTTATTTCTTTTTCTATCGCACAAGAATTAGGCCAAGTCTGTGATTACAAGCCTATGTCCTTCCATCATAATTTAGGTGTTGCAATATATATGAATATACATGAATATATATGTATGAATAGAATAGTTCAAATAAGACAAAAACAAAGTGTCAAGCTCTAAATGTGACTGTTTATATTATACTGATATTTTTTTTCATTAAAGTTTCCGATGGTATTTTGAGAAAAAAAGAGAGGTTAATAAATATAAATGCTGCAATAAAATTTCAATAATATTAATGTTTTAGGACTTCCACTAATAAACAGAGAAGACTCAGAACCAGTCAGACAAGCAACAAAATGCCAATACAAAGGAACAACATATCTTGAAGGATCAACAATAAACAGTGGCGTGACAGCAGATGGTTGCAAGTTTGCCTTGGTTTGTAATTCTGGTGGAACAGTATCCCATTTACAGGAGCCAGACTGCCCTAGGCCAACAACCACTACTACAACTCTTAGTGGACCTATCGGTTACTGCTTCTACAATGGACATAACTATAATCCTGGACAGCAAATAAGTCATGGTCAGTCAGGGAACTGGTGTTACTCCACATACTGTAGTTATGATGGTCAAATATTAAATGCAGACAACTTTAACTGTTCTCCTAAACCAACACCTATCACAACTATACCAGTGATACAAGTTGGTTAATACAGATTAAATCTTATATTACCTTTTTTGTCTTTTACTTATATCATAATAATGCAATATGATTGGTTAAAACCTTTGTCATCAGGAACATTTTTGGGCTTATTTGGTCCTGCAAACTTACTTAAAGCTCAAAACTTGAATGCTTTCATTTTTTTTTTATATTGCATTAAGAACCAGTTGGATAAATGCCTTCACAAAACTGTAATATTAAATTAGATGGCCCAATTTGAATGTGACATAATAGTGGTCACTTATCAAATTGTAAGAAAAAAATATATTAATTTCAGGAAACTTTCAGTAAAATTGATAGAGAGCACCAGCCTCATAAACACTGTCTTTTGTGGGCAAGTAAATAAACACAAAATACACTTCCTGCGTGAAAATTATTTTTGGGGCAAGGATTGTGCTTTATTTTTTTTTTTTTTTGCATATTACAACAAAGGGTAAAGATGTTTTTGCAAAATTCACCATGCTATTAAATTAAGTCTTTTTATGGCTGTATCATTTACCTATAAAGAGCAGCTATTTGTTACTAAAATTGCAATGTTTTACAATACAACTAATTCTAATGCCAATTTGACCCCTAGTCCTACTTTTCCCAAATGACATTCTAAAACAAATCTGCCTTTTTTACATACAGTTTAAATGTCCAATCTTTTACCCCTGTCAACCTGTTTTGAAGAACCTACCTTTTGGGTTTGTTGTTAATTTGTTTTCATCGTAAATATAGATGAAATATTTGCCACTGGATGTTCAGCAAGCTAATTATGAATACAAATGAATGAACGAGTGCTCTTTATAAAAGTAAATACACTTCTGTTGCTAGGGAGTTATTTTTCTGCACCCAAGATAAATTCCCAACATGAGTGCACTGACACTATTGCTAGCAAAACTACAAATAACATGATATCATCAGTAATTAGCTACCAACAAATGTTTGCCACAAATCAGAATTAAATGAGAATATTTTGGTCAGTGTCTCCAAATCATCAATCCTGTAAACTTTCAAAACATTCCCCATTGAGTTTCAGAGAGAAGATATTTGAAAATTGGCACTTCAGAATCAAAGATTATGCACCCAAGATAAATTCCTAACATGAGCGCACTGACACTATTGCTAGCAAAACTACAAATAACATGATATCATCAGTAATTAGCTACCAAAGACTGCACTAACGAAATTACCAATTTATTGCTAAACACAATTCTACCAACATATGTTTGCCACCAAATCAGAATTAAATGAGGATTTTTTGTTCAGGGTCTCCAAATCATCAATCCTGTAAAGTTTCAAAACATTCCCCATTGAGTTTCAGAGAGAAGATATTTGAAAATTGGCACTTCAGTATCAAAGATTATGCAGCCATGTTTTTCATCCCTTCAAAACAAAATGACTTTTGATTCTACACACCTGCCACATGTCATTTCTGTCAAATTTGGTTACAATTTGTCAAGAGGTCTAGAGATGAAGATGAAAATGTAATTTCCAAGGGATCTATGTACAACTAGTGCCACCATGTTTGCCACCTTATCAACATTAAATGAGGATCATTTGTAAAGTGTCCCCAAGTTATTACTCCTGTGACTGTGGTGTAAAACTATTATCGTATGAACAATCGTGAAGCCTCTATTGAAAATAACATATAATAGCCTCTGAACCATTCAGATTGCCAAGATTTATTGAAATTCACTCCTAACTTAAATATAAGCCTACTATCACACAATCTTGGTCAGTTTTTGTCAAAATGAAAAAAAAAAACACTGAAAAAAAGAACATATTACAAGCATCAGTCTGTAAACTTTGCAGAAAAAAACTAGACACAAATATCAAATACCACAAAATGCATGTTAATTTATTCTACCTCATGAAATATTCAACAAACATATAATGCTTATTTCAATGTATGTATAATATGGTAAATACAAATGCAATGTAAATATAAACAAAAAACTAAATGTAAACAACAACTGATTGCATTCATTAACAAAACATTAGTGATAAATATTGTGCCAGTTGATCAAAAAATAAAAGTGCAACAATACAGTTTTGTTTGTGTATATTCGACTTTACTAATTGCTGTTTCCATAAGTATATGTGACTGATTCTAAAAAGTCCAACACATTTTAAATAAGTGATTAATTTTGATTGTCATATGCTACAACCCAAAATCAAATGAACATGGATATCATAGCTGTAAGTAGTAAGTAATTAAAATACTTATGACTTAATACAAACATTAGAACTTCATCTTGCATTTGAAACTTTGATAGCTAATTTTTGTAACATGAAAATAAAAGACTGGCTTTCAAAAAAAATATATAATTATAGTGGAACATTTCATGCAAACATCTACTAACATGCACACATTTATCATCACCTATGTATCTAAAAAATATATATAATTATCTAATACTTATATAACATACACGATTCTAATGCTGTTTTTTTCAAGAACATTAGTATTTTGTAAAATACATGCTATTAAGGCTCAACCTTGTAAATTCATTAAGTAGTTTGTTTGAGAAATGACAATAATTGTTCAAAATGTAAAGACCAAAATAAATTATACCCATTATCATTCATTCACATGTGCTTGAAATTTCATGATTCTAAGAGGATATATTTCATGAAAAATACCATTAACAAACCATGAAATGCTCATGTAAATTTGAAGCAGTTTTAAAATGGAAAATGAGTTTAATGAATGAATTTATAAAATTTGAATCAACAAACTATGAAAATGATAGTATATAACCTATTTTACAATTCAAGCATCTGCATTCAAAATTTCTCATCTAAAATAAATGTTCTACACTGTTGTATTCTTAGACAATTTACTCTTCTTCCGTGCATTGATGCATTTATGACTTATCAAATCTTTAAAGGTATCATATGAATCAGTTCGTCCATCAAGAGATAATGTACTTTCATCATTTTTTCCCAAGTTATCACCTAACCCTTCACTTTTTGGTCTATTTTCTTTTTTATTCCTTATTTCTGATTTATTTTCATTTATATTCAAGTCATTCAAATTAATATCTGATATACGACCTTCATCAGTTTCATCAAGGTTACCCAACAACCTTTGTTTATTTTGACCTTCATCACTTTCACTTATTTTAGTTTGTCTTTGAAGTTTTGTTTTTTTGCCCAGTAACGGCTTTTCTTCTTGCACAACTTCATCATTATAGTCTTTTGAATCTGATTCTTCTGAATTATACTGCTTTGAAAAAAGCAACTTTGACAAGTTGTTCATTTCACTAACTAAACTGAGATCAGATTCACTTTTATAAACAGACGGTCGTCTGCTTTCTTGATCTGATTCAGTATGGTGTACAGAGAAGAGCCCACTTCCACTGTCTAGGTAAAGACATTGTTGGCATTCGTCCTCTGTGTCATTAATTTCTGGTTCTCCTCCAAAACTAAAAAAGTTTGTTTTGGAATCATTGGAGAGTGCAGATTTAGGGGAGTATTTCTCTGAGCCTGTAGGTACATGCTCTAACTGTACAAATTGAATGATATTATTTCCATCTTCTGTCTCATTACCATCACATTCAGCAATAGTATAACTATCAAAAGACCTTTGTTTGTCAAAGGAATTTTTATTTTTCAAACGTTTATTTGATGTAGGAACAGTAGCAGTATAAGACTCAATTGTTCTGCCACTATCATTAGAACTATTCTGAACTGATATAGCAGAATCTGACCCGTTACCTGTAAGTTTCTTTGGTATTTCTGTTAATTCAATATCAACAGAACTTTCATTACTAATTGTAGGTTTATCACTGTAGTCAACTTCAGGGACACGTTTGAATGAACTATTATCTATATTATTATCTACAAAAGCAGTATATGTTTCCTTGCAATCCGTGTCATGCACATGCTTACTACACCCACAAAAATACAACATAGAATAAAACTTTCTAGCTACACGACTGCGAACACTTTTGGAAGATGCCCTCACCCATAACGCATTAGTGGTGCTATTTTCATACAGGTAATTAGTATTGGTTGGTGTGGGAGCAGAAAGATGGGTGTTTACATTTGGACAATGTTCTCGCTCTACCCCATTTTCTCGTCGACTTTCTATAGTTCCAGTATTCAGTTTCTCTGCAGCTTCTTCATCTTCTGCCTCTCGAGGACGAGGGCCCGAACGAAAGTGTTCGCTGTGCAGAAAAGATAAACATAAAAACGTGAGAAAAATAAATTTAACTAAAATAATAATAAGAAAAAGTAAAGCAAGTATTTTTTTTTTGAACATTTTATGTCACCCATAAATATTTATTTATGAATTCTCTATTTGCAAATTTGATTTCTTTTAATATTGCTTCTATTTAATATTTCTGGTTCCATTCAACAGTTTTTGTGAGGTTCTCAATTTAAATACCTGCTTTACTTCAGTTTACAACAATTTTACAATATATACAGAATATTTTTTAATAGTTTGGTCTTCACCTAGACAAAAGTATGCTTCTGTAAAGCTTTTTAGCATGAATATTAATTAGTGAACAGTATTTTGTTGTTTGCCCCCTGCAAAGCTCTTCACCATTGGATTTTAAGGAATGAACATTATTATGTTATTTGCCCTCTGAATGTATCCAGTGTCTTTAAGATATCTATACTGCCCCAGCATGAAAATTATAGATTGCTGTTGGTAGCAAGTATGAAAATAATAGCAGTCATGTATACCATGGCCAATTTTAAGGTCAACAACTATATCCTCTAGATCTGTAAATGATTCATAAAAATCAAAATCCTGATACTTTTGTTATATGCAAATTATTGGTTGGTGTATTTGAAGGTTAAACTATTCGTCATTTTGTGATCAGTTCACAAAAACAATCATGACAGTTTACACATTTCCGGTATTTAACAAAAAGTTCAGCCAAGAAAGCACCATGGAAAACTGCTGAAAAGACATATCATGTACCCCTTCAGATTATGGAAGGAATATTTTCAGATATAAGAACACAGAGATAAACAGGGGCAACACAATACCTCACTCTTAATTTTTTTGTGGCAAACGCATATAAGGGTGTGATATAAAGACATTTATCTGTACAACATAACATTTACTAGCTGAAAATGAAAGTGTAGTATGGCTAATGTGCTTTTTGTGACTTACAACAATAAACAAATAAATATATGTGACCTGCCATGACATTCTCAGGCTTATGGCGGGAAACGTCTTAATAAGAAAATGTTGATGTAAAGTCACGTAACGTAATCGGGACACCTGTTATTGAATGTCCAATTAAATCATGCGGTAAAACAAAGTTTCATTTTTATGACTTCAGGAAATTTGAATTTTATATTAAGATATACAAAACAAGACAATTACGTACATAAAATATTATTTAGAAAAATAAAGTACCGAAAAATTATAACTTTCCCGAATCAGATTGCAGCATGAACACCAAGTTATTGGAGTAAATCTCATTGTTTCACATTGTAAGGAAATATATGAACATATGTATGGACATGTACCGGTACATGTAAATCAAGCAAGATATATCTGCCCATTAGGACCCCAATAGTGTCTCATCCCATGTTTATTCCTGGTTTTTTTTTATCTATGACGGTCTTAGAACTGCATAAACAAGATGTATGTGTTGTTTAAAGTTTGTTTTCTTACTTCCCTTTCACCTACATGCCCTAATATTATTGATCATGCTGTTTGATTTTTCATCTTACTCTACATTAACAGATCTTTGATTAAATCACTTTGTCATGAGACATGTACAAAATGTATTCACAATAAGATAATAGATGAACATAAGAAAGCATATCTAATAATACACAGCTCCTTGATGGTTTATTATATACCATGGTATTCACTTTCTAAAGCATTGATGTAGTTTTCCTTACGAAAGAAAGAAAATGTTCAAGTCATTATTATTTTGATTGCAGATTCAAGTACATTGTTGTTAAAATTCTTCGGTTATTTAGTTATTAAACTATAATTACATTTTGATTAATTGAATACTTGAACCCCCCTTTCCCCCCCAAAAAAAAATAATTTAAAAAAACCAATATGACATAGCAACTATAATAGATGGACATACATGTGAAAAATTGAAGAAAAAAAAAATCAAATTTTTTTATTAAAATTGAAACTAACAAAAATTACCATTATTCTGTTATTTTGAAGAATATAGCAAAATAACTTGTCAGGGTGTTTTGAATCTATGTATATTACATAAAAATGCAAAAACCTCATTTTGATCCTGGTACCTCCATAAGCCTGAAAATATCACGACTGGTCACATATATATATATATAAATATATAAAGTTATCTCTCTGTGCAATGCAAGGGACTGTAACTAACACCATAAATTACAATGGCATATTGTTACAATAAAAAAAACCTGAAATTTTTTTCCAACATTTGATTAACTGATGCTTATAATCACATGATAAGTTGTAAAAGAAAATGTTGAACTGTTAAAACTGCAGCCTGAACAATGATATAAATGTTATCTAATATAGATCTAAAGTTAAATATTAGATGACCATGTGTGAAGGCTGCTGTAGAGTTATCATATAACTATTGAAGCATTCATATAAGGTCAACATGACGTTGTATGGACTAAGAATTTTGTTCTGTATTAATTTCTTTCTGCTTGGTCTGTTTAATCACATATTGACATATGTAGGCTACAGTTTTACTTTCAACAAATCATGATATCCAGTACCAAAATCTTGTATCTTGAGATGCCATGTACATCACAAAAGTGTCATACAGACAGACAGATGATAGGAAACTAGTTCTGTAACATAAAAGTCTTTGGTTAAAAGTTATTCTAATATTCACCAAGGAAAGATAGACTTTTCTGCCTTGCATTTTAAATTGTAGTACAGGGAGATAACTCTTCTAAACATCTAACATCTATATTAGAGAACATTTTTTTTAACGAAAGATTTCCACTGAAAAATAAAATACAAGTACCTCATGTTATAGAAAGCTAGAGCCACAAAGATAATAAAGACTGTTCCAGCAGCTAACACTGCATACATCCATATACTGGTTGCTTCTTTTTCTAAAAAATCAACAAACAAGTTCAATAAAATCATAAAATTTTACTACTGACTCAATAATTTATATGAATTGAATATGTACCAGTTGGCTGAGAATGCAGGTAGATCTAAAATACCTAGTTTTATCCTGTCAATTTTGTATGTAAATGTCCCAAGGCAGGAACCAGTGATTGTTTCTTAAGCTTTAATGTCACTTGGGAGAACTGTGGGTTTATGACAGATCATTGTTAGTCTATGTTAAATAATTCCTTTTTTTTTCAGACATATGGCAATTAAGAGTTTGACATATTGTAAAGTGACCTGTCTTTTCTGAAAGACAGTACGTTGACCTCTATATGTTTTTTTTTATTTTTTGTGTTGATTGGTTGCTGTCTCCCTGATATCATGAGGTCTCACTATTTCCTAGTATAAAAAATCAAAAGATTTTCTAGTGATCTGAATAGAATGATATTGGTATAAAGAAAAGGGATAAATTTCATATTCATATTTTTCAAAAGTAATTGTCTAAATTTTAATTTACAGAATTGAAATAAACATCACATCAATTAAATCAGTTTGAAGGAAATGTATAATAAGCAAATATATCTGTGTACGACAAACACACCCTAACCTTAGGTTTTTTTTTTTAGAATGTTTAACTTACTTTGACCTGTTTCTTGAGCATCTTTTTCCACAGTTACATTAGCCTGTAAACAGGCCATAAGAATACCTATGGAGTTTGTTTGTGCTACTAAACCTTCTGTGCATATGCATATATTGGTATCATTACATGAACTTTGTACTGGACATACTGGTTCACATCTCAGGTCTAATGGTGGACGTTTCTCAATGTCACATCCACCTAAAATGATCAATTTTCAAGATGTAATCTAAAATAACTTTTACTACATGGTTATGTACTTTCATAAGATATATTTCAGATTTTGTACAGAGAAAGTGTGAAGATAATATTGAGAAAAAGCAAATACTAACTTAAAATTCATGAAAGACATGTCATTTATACGGATGTTCATTTTAATAATATATACTTATATCTAGCTTGCACTCATTGTTTATGACCGGAAAAAACAATGACAATATGTGTATTTTATATATAACATCACGGTACCCAACTTGCACCGAGTACCCAAATTGCACCTATTTAGTAAAAGTAGCAGAGGAAATATTACATGTTTTCATAGAGACGAAACAATTTGTATTTTTTATTATTTGACCTTATGCACGTCTTTCGACATAGGTAAATATATTTAAATATGCACAAAACGTTCACAGTATACATCAACAGATGAAGTATGACTGCAAAAGGTAAAATGTACAGAAACTTCGCCATGCAACGTCCACCAAAAGGTCATCTTTTAAAAATGAGCAAATAAAGTATGTTACAAGCCTCCATTTCTTAAGAAATGAATAGTAAGCATAGATTAATGTCCAATTGTTCTAAATATTTGAAGAAACAAGCATTCTGTGAGTATTGCATGGCAATACATAGTCCCCTACCGGTTAAAAATTCATTGTAATGGAGCAAACCTACCACTAAATTTTTCAAACAATTTACTAAAGAAAAGGAAAAAAATCCAAAATGTCATTTATCTTAATACAATGTCTTTTACAAATCTTTAAAAAAAAAAGAAGAATTATTTCCCTTTGAAGAGAAATCTAGTAATTAATAAGTATTTCATCAAAAATTTAATTCTAGGGAAAGGGCTTTAACTGAACAAGGAGAAAAGCTAAAATCGTGATAATCGAACTTGACCTGTAACTTGTCATGATGAAACAATACACCAAATATCAAATCAATATCTTCAAGCATGGACTGACGGATGGACAGACAGACGGACGGACAGACAGACGGACGGACAGACAGACGGACAGAGTGCAAACCTAAAGTCCCCTTTGACTTCGTTGGTAGGGGACTAATAAAACAAATTATCCGTAATTCGATTTTTAAGGCTGCGAATTTAACCATGGATGCAATTTGGGTACTCCTTAATTCGGAATCATGGACCGTTTGGATGTATATTCAAACCCATTTTTTTATGATTCAGTATAGATTCAAAATTAAATTGATGAAACCATATAGTGAATAATGATACATCTACAAAATAAACACAGAATGGGAACTTTTGTTTTGTCTGGTTCATAAATAAACGTAGGTGAAAAAACTGTCAAAATAGGTGCAAACCTTACAATGTCAAAACTGATAAAAAAAAAAAAATTACAAAGAGACTTTTTTTTTCATATAGAATTATTTAATAACAAGAAATGATTGTAACAGGATGCTGTTACGAAGTCTCCCAAACGAAGCTCCCATAATTCGTAATTCCCAGGGTCGTCTGACATTGGGCTAAGTCCAGTGAAAATTGGTTTGGTAAAGTTATATGCATTAGTGATGCCTTGGGACTAACCCTGTATATCAATCAAATCATCTTGGCATGACAAACCAGAATATATATGGTTTAGGGGTGGGGATCTCGACCACTTACAAGATACTAGAACATTGGGGGTGGGGGGAACCCCTGGGGATGACCCTATACGTCATTCAAATGTTCGAGACATGACGAACAGGAATATATATGGTTTAGGGGTGGGGAGCTCGACCATTTACAAGATATTAGAACATTGGGGGTGGGGGGAACCCCTGGGGACTGACCCTATACGTCATTCAAATGTTCGAGACATGACAAACAGGAATATATATGGTTTAGGGGTGGGGATTTCGACCATTTACAAGATATTAGAACTTTCTCAAATGGCAGGGGGTGGGGGATGACCCCTGGGGACTAACCCTGTAAATCATTCAAACCATCTTTGCATGACAAACCAGAATATATATGGTTTAGGGGTGGGGATCTTGACCACTTACAAGATATTAGAACTTTTTAAATGGCAGGGGCTGGGTGTGACCCCTGGGGACTAACCCTGTATATCATTCAAACCATCTTTGCATGACAAACCAGAATGTATATGGTTTAGGGGTGGGGATCTTGACCACTTACAAGATATTAGAACTTTCTTAAATGGCAGGGGGTGGGGGTGACCCCTGGGGACTAACCCTGTATATCATTCAAACCATCTTTGCATGACAAACCAGAATATATATGGTTTAGGGGTGGGGATCTTGACCACTTACAAGATATTAGGTTTTTCTTAAATGGCAGGGGTTGGGGATGACCCCTGGGGACTAACCCTGTATATCATTCAAACCATCTTTGCATGACAAACCAGAATATATATGGTTTAAAGGTGGGGATCTTGACCACTTACAAGATATTAGGTTTTTCTTAAATGGCAGGGGGTGGGGGTGACCCCTGGGGACTAACCCTGTATTTCATTTGATTTGCTTTATAATGAAAAACCAGAATATATATGGTTTAGGGGTGGGGATCTTGACCACTTACAAGATATTAGGTTTTTCTTAAATGGCAGGGGGTGGGGATGACCCCTGGGGACTAACCCTGTATATCATTCAAACCATCTTTGCATGACAAACCAGAATATATATGGTTTAGGGGTGGGGATCTTGACCACTTACAAGATATTAGGTTTTTCTTAAATGGCAGGGGGTGGGGATGACCCCTGGGGAGTAACCCTGTATATCATTCAAACCATCTTTGCATGACAAACCAGAATATATATGGTTTAGGGGTGGGGATCTTGACCACTTACAAGATATTAGGTTTTTCTTAAATGGCAGGGGGTTGGGGTGACCCCTGGGGACTAACCTTGTATTTCATTTAATGTGCTTTATCATTTAGAACATTTTCAATTAAAAAGATTGTGTCTATCACAAACGGTTTTCAATTTATAATCATTTGAAAATTTTAAAAAATAAAATCCCATAGGGTTCTATAGTAAAACCCTACTTTCTTTTTGCCCCTCAAAGTACCCCTTTATAAATCCTATTGCACAAACAAAACCCTGATTGCACCACTAGACATGTTAGTCTAACATATTGTGAAACCCTAAGTTAATCTGACTAGCGGTTTTGGAGAACGGGTGCGGACAAGTTCAAATTTAAAAGTGGCGGAAGAGGAAGAGGAAGAGGAAGAGGAAGAAGAATAATAATAATAATAAGAACTGAGCAAAAACAATAAGTCTTCCCAAACTTCGTTTGGGAGACTTAATTAAAATGAAAATGGCATTTCCAGACCGACAACGATTCTTGCATCTAATCAATTCAGTTTTTGTAGATAGTTTATTGGAAATCAAACTGAAGGAATATGATGGAAAGTGTGTAAATTTGTTACTGAGTATTAGTTTTCCCAGTTTAAAGTATTGAATACACAAGGTCTCTTCTGAACATTTCAAAATTCCTATTATATATTGGCTACCATAAGTTCATGAATAAAAAATCAGTCAAATATCTCAGAAGCATATGTCTACAACTACTCTTTCTGTACTTTTAACTAATTTCCAGACTATATTTAAAGATTTTTTTTTTTTGCAATAAAGCATATGAAAATGATGGAAATAATAATTTTTGGAGTGTAAAAAAACTCTTTCAGTGTTTTAGATAAATAGCATATTTTGAAGGACCATTCACTTTTGTAGACAGTTGTGACTTTTCAACATCTATAACTACACTTCCACACAATCTTATCAAATAGACATTTTCTTATTCAATCAAATGGTCCTTTGAAAAATCTGATTAAAAATCTATTTGCTACAACTCATGTAAAGCCTTAACTCCTGTTGTGAAAGAGGTAAATATGCTAGATACACTCTATTTCCAATATTTCAATAATATCTTTCATAAAATTTTACAGGTAAAATAATAGGCAAAAAATATGACTATAATTCAGAAATAAACTATAATTGTTAAAACAACAATCCCCCCTATGTTTACATATGCATGTAATTAAAAGTGGGCAAACCAGGATGACACCATACACTCTAAGGAACTGGGTCGAGATGATTAAAAGTGTAAATTTTCTACTTACATCTATGTACCTTTCAGCAATAAAGTTTATTAACAAGTTATAGGTATTCCTAAGGGCTCCAATTGCGCCCTTTCAATAACAGACTTGTTACTGTACTGTTATGAATCATAGTTTATTACCAAAGTCAGTAAAGATCCATTTAAATTACCATACCTGTCAACCTATGACAATGAAAATGCAGGTCATGACCTGCATAGAAGAATGAAATCTCAGGTCATAACGCGTACGAACTTTTTCGAGCTGAATTTCAGTATTTTCTTATAATTTATATCAAAGTTTCCAAAACATGTCCACATGGTTAAGTAATTTAAAATTGTACATTTAATTATTTCATTGCACTTGAAGGCCATTGATAGATTTGTGTTACATTGCCTTAATTTCTTTTCATATTCCATGACATACATTGTGCCAACTTGTGTTTTCTTTACATACATTTGTGCAGCTTTTAATCAGAAGAACATATCATGTGTTGATATTAGAGTATAATAAAATAAAGTTAAATAATTAAAGGAGGTATAGATGAAAAAAGTAATTTTCAAAATTTTTATTTTTTAATTGTTCTAAGGTAGAAAAATAAGTAAAAGTATTATTCTGATATGTTTTTGCATTCAATTCGTTTTAGATTTAATCTTTTTACAAAAAAAAACATAAATTTAAGGAGTATATTGTGAATTGACAAAAACAGGTATGAATTACATTTAAAAGAAAAATATAATAACAAAAAAATAACCATTATTGCTTTAAATAATCAAGATTACTCTGGTTATAGGGTGAAAGTTTTCCCAGGGGAACTGACTTTAAATAAACCTAGAATAAATAGTAATAATCATCCTTTTCCAGATTTAAACATTTCAGATTCAAACGTGATATTGCAATAAAAAAATTAAGACAAAAGAGACAAAGTTTAGTTCCTTGCTAATTCTAGTAAAAATCTGGACCGATTCCATATACGCCTCTAACTAATAAAACTAGATTAACTAGATAAACACATAGACCCTGAACCTCAGAACACTACAATTCATTTTTCTTTTGTCAAGAAACATCAAATACCTATAACTTTAAGTCCATCAGATCTTGAACACCAGACAGTTCTATGTTGGTCGACATTCCATGGACTTGTACTCCACTCAAAGAACATTCCTTCTTCAGCAGCACAATGACGTTTTTCCCACAGCTTGTCTGGGCAAGGTGTATTTTTTAATTTAGGATATGCCAACACAGCTCTGGATCTACTCTGAACTCCTAGGCTCCTATATCTCTCTGAAAACCAAACATATAACATAATTATAATAGCAATTTAGATACATACAGCTTCAGCGAATTTTTTTTTGAAAGAATAAATTTCTTTTTTATTCTATATTATAAATAAAAGAGGGGGGAGAGATTTAACCTAAAATGGTCAATTCTTAAAATTTTCATCAACAAAATCAACATATTGTATAAAACAAATATACAGCAATTAATATTTGACCTTTTTTTAACACCACCAAGGATGATATCCATTTAGGAGGATATGTAGATTGCATATGTTCAGTGGAAAAAATGAAGCGGAAAAGGAAAAATGGTAACATTGTAGATTTTCTAGTAACAAATAACACTTTTTTTAAGAAGTAGATAACCAAAAGAATATGTCCTCAGATTTAAGTGGATAACTGTAGTACTAGTCAGGTACAGCAATCTGTTCTTTTTAATGTTAGTATTCATATTCTTATACTGCATTTTGCCACCCTTGAAATGTATTACCACAGGTCACCTAAAAGTCCAATGAATGATATCTGAATATAATTAATGAACTGCAGTGCTGTACATTTTCTAAAAGATCACTCTCAAGAAAGGTTAATCTTTTATTTAATTCACTTTTGATATATAGTCAAACCATTATTTCTCCTTTAATATCCAAGGCAGCTCCTTTTACAATAGTTTCTCTCCTGGGGGTATCAATTGCATTAAGCCTCAACTATTTCAAAACACTACCAAACTGTGCAACAAATGAAAAGATATAAAAATACTTACCAATGCTGAAGTCCTCTCTTGACAAGTAACACTTATTCCATTCAGTCCATTCTGTCATTACACATTCCCCTGGGCATGGCACAGTGCATGGTCTCTCAGTCTTAAAAAAAATAGGGACACTTTTCAAGACCATTATCAACATTTAAAAAAATAACTTTTCATGAACCTCTAGTAAAAATTCCTATGAGACAATATAGTGATGCTGTTCATATTAATTCTGATGAAGTATATAGCTGCAGTGAGATGAAAACGTTCATCATAAAATAAATTACCTTTTGCCTTTTGAACTTAAAAATTTAACTGTCTTGCATTGAGAACTATCCTAACTCACTCAATGCAGTGGTAGAATCTGTATTCATATTCTTCACCTTCAAGTTTTATTTTGAATTAGTGATACAATGTTAAAATAAAATCTGTCTTTCTAGAAAGCTTGGTAATTCCAGAAATTACTGTGCATTCACTTATTTTGGTTGGTATTAATTTTCATGGATTAAGATAAAAATGTATTTCGTGGATATTTGATTTTGTGGTTTTTCAAAAGTTTGCACACAAGCCTATAGAAAAATTGTACTTCATTTACCATTTAAATTTGTTGTATTATCCACAGTACATGAATGGATTATATCACTCACCTGCAAAATAAGTATATGAAGGTCTGGTGAACACTTGGATGGGTCTAAGGCAATACCATCTTCACTCATACAAGATATATTTCTCTTCTGTATCCCATGTCCACATATTCCAAACTAAAATAGTCAAACAAATACCATACTTTTGCTATCAAACTGAATTTGTTTCTACTTGATTAATCAAACATACCTCAAATTTTTGTGAATTTCATTGATGGAGACTTTAATCTAAACTTAAGAACTTGATGAAATACTATTTTTCAGCTACTTTTTTTAAAAACAGAAGCAAAAATTTAATATCAGCAGCCTTCCTAATTGGTTCACTTAAGATGAATCGGCCTTTGTTTGCAACCCGATCAACATTAAATGAAAATAGTTTGTAGAGAGTCCTCAAGTCATCAATCTTCTTTAGTTTTAAAACATTTTGCTTTGTATAGTTTCAGAGTAGAAAGCTTTTGAAATTTGGTCAATCACAATCTAGCTGCCATGTTTTTTTTTCAGCTGAATTGAATGAAATGACGATATTTTAAAAAAGATATCCCATTTACTATTCCTGCCTCGGATTAATGATTTATTTTGTACGAATTGCAAAGAAAAAGAAAATGCCAGGTTAAGGGAATCTTTTTCAACTTTTTTTTACAAGGAAAAGGTCATTATCAACACTGTAATACATATTTCTAGTGTACAGATTATAGCAGGGAAATATCAGTAGGGTTAAAACGTATTGCAGAATGGATGATGCAGGATGATGCAGGATTACACATAAAAATCCTACCTGAGATGTACAGTTTGACCAGACAGAGACAGTCCAAGAATAGCAGCCTTGTTGAAAACATGGTTTCTTCTGCTTAAGCATATCTGGGCAAGGTCTTCCATTTCTGCTGAACTGTTCCACAATAGTTCTCTCCCTTTGACTGACTCCTAAAAATTTCAACAATTTATGACAAAATACATATTTTTTTAACAAACTTAAATGTCTTATCTAAGATATCATTTTTCCTTTAGATATGATCTTTAATAATCTTACTAATAAATAATAAAAGTAAAATCTGATAAAATTTTTATAGTTGTGAATATTTAAAAAAAGATATAAAACTTTGGAGAAAATATAAATAGAAATTTATTATTTTTTTTACATTAATAAAGGAACATCCTGAAGGCCTCATGCATATAGTTTGAAGAATTTTTGAATTATTCGCATACACACTTTTAACTTGCAAAATATCTGCATGAAAGGACCAACTAAAAATTATAAGAGTTGTGAAGTGTTCACCTTTGCTTAGAATATTTTGTTGATCTATGAATGCAATATCTGACAATGGTTTTATAGTTGTAAATATTTTTAAAACCAAATACTTCAGCTATTCAACTAAGCATGCAGCTTTTTAACAAAAGAAATTCTAAGAATTATTAGGATTTTTTATTTTTCCAGAAAGTTAAGACATTTCTATGCCTTAAAACAAGCAAAAAAATGATAACTTCTATTATCAGGGTAATGTTACAATTTTTGTGTAATATTATCAAGTGAAAATGTGTTTCAATTAGGATTGAATAAATTGTTGCTATATTAATTAATACAATTTCCACTGTACCTAGGCCACATTTTTTGCTGCAAGATGACCATGATGACCAATCAGACACAAGACAATCAACATCACATACTTCTTCACAAGACACAACAGATGGCTCAGAAACTGGATCTGCATCCTATACAAAATATACACAGTATAAAAATATGGAGAAGTGGTATGATTGTCAATGAGACAATTATCCACCATATTTCAATTAAAGTGGATGTTAGCATTTATAGGCAACTGTACTGCCTTCAACAATGAGTAAATCCCATACCATACAGTGTCTATTTAAAAAGTGAAAACTTACATCGGTATTAATAGCTATCAGCAAAAACCTTTTTATTGATAATTACCTATAAAAAAGAAGTTCATTACAAAATAGATTTGTTTATCCATCAAATGAGTTTCCTTATGCCTTTCTTTCAAATGACATTAAAAGTCATGCACAGAGAATCTTTATGAATAAATTATAATGGTTTCAAGAGGCTATATAAAATAAGACATATGCATATGCTGCATTTCATGTTTTATTGGTTTGATTTGTTTGGTTGCTTTCCTGCTTAAGTTTATCTTAGTTTGTTTCAACCCCATCTGCAATATGTAGATTTTTTTTATGGTTATGAAATAATATGCATTTTACAAATATAGTGTTAACTCACAGTCAATTACATTTTTCGTAATTTGCATGAAAAGCAGTCCATGTGGTGTTAAGGTGGTACATAAAACTACAAGGAGATAACTCTGTAAAAATCAGCTGAACGTTTTAATCATGTTCTATTGTTAAGGGAATACTAAGCTTCTCAATGATCAAAATTAGTGTTTGTCAAACTGCTATATATCCAAAGAAATTTTTCCAATAAAGTGTGTGGTTCAAGATTTTTGAAATTTTTATATTTTTGTCAGAGGGTCAAAGTGAATATTTTTTCAAAATTTTATGCAAATTAAACGAGCCAAATTAATTTTAGTCAAGGTGTTTGGTACCACCTTAATCAGTGACATGTCTTACAATTTCTCTCACTGTAAATTTCTTAACATGATGCAAATGTGTTATGGTAACAATAAGTGGGTATAACACCCTTTAATTATTGCCATCTACAAACTCAATTTTATTCTTACCACTTCACAAAACTCACTATCCACATTGTGGCCAAAGTGGTTTTTGCAGATTAGATATCTTTCTTTATGTCCTACTCCACAGTTGTCCATGCCATTGTTTATTAAGCAAGTCGTCCATGATGACCATTCCCAATAGTACTCTATACAATTATCATTCTTGATGCAGGGTTTTGTTTCACGAACCTCTGGACAGTTGTTGTAATTCAGGTAACGTAAAACTTCTCTTGTCCTCACTTGTCTATCATTATGATTACAGGGCTATAAAGTGAATGCAAAAAGTTTTAAAAAGTTCTACCCTACATATGTATTAAATGCTTTATTTCTGAGTACTGATTCATTTTTTCTGAGGTTTCTTCACATTAAACATATGACAAGGACGTTTGTGATGTCATTTACCTGTAAATTCCTCCATTCTGTATTCCTGTACTAATGAAGGGTTTTATGAAGGAGAGATATATATTTCTACTATTCCTTTTTTTTCTTTACACCACATCTTTACAAACGTCAGATGCCTTTTAAAGGTACAAATGATGCTTTTAAAAACATTGATTTTTTCTAGAAACAATATGACTCTTAAATAAAAGTTTTAAAATACTGATTGACTTTATAATAAATTTGTATCTAAGCCAGTTCCTATCAAACAATATCAACATGATCAACGATTTAAAACTCTCTTCTATAGTAAGCTTCTTGTAAGATTTTCAATTAGTGATCGAACAAACTTTCTCGTCAATGCACCAAACAGTTTAAACCTTAGAAAGAAAATAAGATAACCTTGCTGCATGAAGTCCATGTTGTCCAAACACTAACCACACAATCTTCCAAACAGTATAAATAACAATGCTGCATTTTTGGAGGACGCTGATTTACACACACATCATCCGAGGCTACACTTGTTGTAAATCCATGTCTATTCACAGCATAACATCTGATGATCATAAAAGAATAAAGTTTTATTTGAATCACATAAAATTGATAATAATATAGAATTTAAAAAAAATTTGGAATTATAATTAGATATTGCTGTAGCAAATATAAATAATTTTCCATCACAATCTGATAAAAACCCAAATTAAAACAAAATTGATGACCTCCACCCTTAGGTCCACCCTCCTCCCCCAAAAAAATCATTTTCAAGCTACCACAACCATCCCTCTCATTATATTCCTTATTCAGTGTTTTTCATCGCCAATCACAAAAGGAAAAACATTTGCATCCTTTCACTACTGGATTAGTCTTTGTTTCATATTTGAAATACAATTGTATTAAATTTGAAATTGTAAAATTCAATGACAAGATATAGTGTTCTGCCTTTATCATTAATACATTTAATTGGTTTTACAGGTCAAAAACACATTACCAAGACAACAACAAAAATACATTTCAAAAGACTATATTCAAATTTATTTCTAAGTTCGAATGTTTAGTCAAAATTTACACAATGTATTGTTTCATTTGAAAAAAGCATTTAAAAAACAAAACAAAAATCCTGTTGTGTCTTGTGAAGAAGTATGTGATAAAGATAAATGCATCGAATGAACTAAAGAACAATTTGTTTTCCTTTTGGTCATAACTTTCCTTAGCACACCTTCATTCTTTTCTGAAACAAACTCATGGAGACACTGCACATGTAATAGAGAAATAATCTTTTCTGAATGTAGCCTGGGATTTTATCATGATGATTTTCTTACACAGAGCAAGAATTGTCAATTAATCAAAAGCATCTTCACCATAACAGACCAAGTTGATTATTCATACTTTTAAAATGCTCATTCATTTTCTTGAGATATAGAGGGAACATGTTATCAGAAAAATAGTTACATAATAAAATAACATAAAGTACATTGTACAGAAGAAGAAATTGAAATGCTGTCATTTCTTTTTTTAGTATTTAAAAATCTTGTTCAAAGGCAAGTCCATATGCTCATACTGTATTAAACACTGCTTGTTACATTCACCAGAATAAAAAGGTTAACAAGCAATCTAAAATAAACAACATATGGTATAACATTAGAAAGTAATGTGGTTAATGATTTATACCTACCTAACAAATCTTGTTTGAGTACCATTACCACATATCTGTTGATTATGTGGAATACAGGTGCCCCAAGCTTTTGTTTTCCATACATATCGTACACACTCTGGATGACAAAGCCTTGTTTGTACTTCCTAAAATCAACAAATCAGTATTATGTATTTTGAAAGGACATTTCAACTCTGGTGGATAGTTTCTCATTGGCAATCATAAAATGTCTCCTTATTTTCATATAGAGCCAGTATTCATACTGGAATGAAATTAAGTTGAAATTTGTAAATGTTTCTAAAACTTAGACAGAAACAACATGTTTGTCTTGGACTCTCTATTTAACGAAACACAACATAACATTTCAACATTACAAGATTTCGAGTAGTTCCTTTTAACCTAAAAACTGCAAAAGCAGGTGATTAAAATTGTTAAAATAAAACTTTTCATCTGACTGTAATCCATTGCAATTATGTATCATTTTTTTTTAAACAAACATAAATATGAACAGGGATGGACATGAAACAAAAACAAATTGGAGCAGGGATGGATGTGAAACAAAAACAAATTGGAGCAGGGATGGATGTGAAACAAAAACAAATTGCAACAGGGATGGATGTGAAACAAAAACAAATTACTGCAGGGATGGACGTGAAACAAAAACAAATTGGAGCAAGGATGGAGGTGAAACATTTAACACAAATTGGAGCAGGGATGGATGTAAAATGAATACTAACCTTGCTTGAAGCACCAAGTGATGGACACTGTCTGCCTCCTGCTGAAGGAAGTCTTCGGATACTACGATAGCGTGTTTGTACACCAGCACCACATTTAGCAGGACACTCACTCCAAGTTGTCCAATCAGACATCTCACAATCAACAGGACATGGTATTAAACATACTTCTTCTTCATAACCTGTAAGATAGGTTAACTTAAAAGTTAAGCACAATATTTAGTCTTATAGCAACTGTCACTTTCATATCCAAGGGGTCAGGAAAAAAAAGACTTTTGTACCTAGTTCTTTATTCAACATATGATTATACAGTTATAGACTTCAGTCAACTTAAATCTATTAGTTTTTTATATCCTCTTCCTAATACTTAAGGTGCGTTTACAAGGTATGATTTTCCTTTGATTTTTACCTGTGCATCCGTTTTCCAGTAAAATCGCGGTGTGAACACTAAATTCGAATGTACAAACGCTGTACGATTTACCTGGGCCACGGTATCAAATCGATTTCAAAATCTGACAGAAAATTGTACTGTGTAAACGCACCTTTAAACTGCGATAAGGAACACAACACAAAGAAAGGGACCACACAGCTAGTGAATATTTATAGAAATATAAGAGACAACTACCTGCTCCATTACATTTGTCTGCTGACTCTATCCCTGTTCCATGGTTACTACAAGCCACTACTTTTATTCTTTTTCCAGTTCCACAAATGTATCCCATATCAAGGGAAGTTGTGTTACGAGTCCTCTTTCCTCTACTGCTTGTCAGTTCTGGTTGATTAGTTATATAGTCATGTCTAACTGGTTCTAGGATACAGTCTGACCATTCACCCATTGATGTAGGTTTTAATGACTCACATAGCTGACAAGGTCGCTTTTGGTAAGTTGGATACAAATTGTTATTATGGCATTGATCTGGTACCCCTGGACCACCTTTTAAAAAGAAAATAAACCATAATAATTAGATAACAGGAATAACCTTTACTAATCATAATAAACTTTAGAAATACAATTAAGCTAACATATTATCTAATGAGAATTAATATTGATATAGATTAAGGTTCTAACATTTTAAGTTGACAAAATCTTTGACTAAAAGAAGATATACACTGTATATTAATTCATGGGTGAAAATTTAACTAGACTGAATGCATTGTCCCGCTAAGCATACCCTACTGTAAAAACATGTAAAAGAAAACAGGAATTTGATGTCTGACAGATCAGAAAAGTGCACACACCTTACATCTTTTCACTGTTAAGCTGCTGACTAAATCTGAGGTATTCCTGTTTAATAGTTTCAGAGAAAAGTGTGACGAAAATATTTGTTGGTGGAATGGACAAAGGGACTAACAGTCGGTAAATGATATTGCAATATAGTACCCACTTCTAGAGTGGGAGTATAATAGTAACTAGATATCATTGAGATGGGAGCCATCTCTGTGGGCCCCGCTGTGAATAATGTGTGGTAAAAAATGTGTATCTTTATCATTGGACATGGGGTTGTCAAATGAAACCAAAGTTTTTGACCTTGACCTTTGACCTAGGAAGTTGTACATAAATTATGACACACCCTCTGGTGTTGGTTTATATACATATCAAGTATAAACTTTGAAATCTTAACGGTTCTCAAGATATAGAGCGGACACGATCTTTACCATAGGACATGGGGTTGTCAACTTTAACCAGTTTTTGACCTTGACCTTTGACCTAGGAAGTTGTACATACATTATGACACACCCTCTGGTGTTGGTTAATATACATATCAAGTATAAACTTTGAAATCATTAACGGTTCTCAAGATATAGAGCGGACACGATCTTTACCACAGGACATGGGGTTGTCAACTAAAACCAAAGTTTTTGACCTTGACCTTTGACCTAGGAAGTTGTACATACATTATGACACACCCTCTGGTGTTGGTTAATAAACATGTCAAGTATAAACTTTGAAATCATAACAGTTCTCTAGATATAGAGCGGACACAATTTGTTACGGACGGACAGACGGACAGACGGACAGACTGATCACTATAGGGCGTCCGCCATTCGGCAGGGCCCTAATAAGATACTATCCCATGAATATTAAAGCCCAGATTTGCTGACCACTGAATAAATCAGATTTACATGATTTATAACAAATTTGGAAAAAAACACGCAATTTCTTATGTCTTAGTGCAAAAGTCTCCATCATCAAATCTTCCTCAAATATTTTATACATATATCAATGTTTTATTATGTTAGGATAATAATTGGGTTACACCATATTCATTAGTTTAGTTCCTATTTGTGGTTTACATGTAGTTGCCTGGGACATGTAAAAAAGATAGAACAGGATTGAGCAAGCTCATACTAGATTGGAGGGCAGGATGATTCCATATCAGCAGGTTACTTGCCTTCAGTAATTGAAGGTATTATTTGATAAAACATTGTTTATAATTTATTTGTTTGTTCTCTTTTTTGTTCCTTATACTGTTATTTTAGAGAGTTAAGTGTTTTTCCTGTACTATTTTACATTCTTTTCTGTACATTATTTTTTGTCCACTGATTCAAAAAGTGGAAGGGTGAATATTTCATAAAATGAGCGTTTTCTAAGTCAGGATCCTGGTCAGTGGTTTTCTTACATCATATCTTTCATTCTTTGGAGAATTAAATGTTGATAGCAGATCTATGATGGATTCTGTTTAATAGATCTTCACATACAGTAAAGACAATTGTTTATTGTTTAAGGCTGTATGTTGCTCTAAGATGTCTTTTTTATTTGTGTCATTGGGTTGATGTCTCATTAAGGTATACCCCACATCTCTTATTCAACCACATCTCCACATTAATTTTGGTTGAGGAGTCACATCCAAAAGAAATAGTTTCACATTTTTATTTTTTCTAATAATGAAACTCTTCCATGGATGATGGTTTTGATTAGATTAAACCTCATACAAATTTGAATGGTATATATAAAGAAATGTGATAAACTTTACATGGATGAAACAAATAATAACATGATAAGTCCACTTCTCATAAAAAAACATATGTTTCAGTACCTCAAGTTTTTCTGATAATTGAAACTTTTAAAGCTATTGAAGATAAAAACATTTTAACCTTTTAAATGTTTTGTAGGTAAAACAAAGCCATGATAATTAAAATGCATATGCTATTGCATGGGTATAAGTGTCCAGTAAACTTGCCTTTCAGTTCCCTTGATCTGAACTGATGACCACTACACCCTTGGATACAGTGGCTCCATTCTGACCAATCAGTAAACAAACATTGCCGGTCACATGTCATATAACATGGTTCAGCAATAGGAGGCATTGGACCAAGGAATTTCAGACAGTCTTCTATTGGATGATCTGTTCCATTTTGAGCCATACATGCAATGTCTACAAGGGAAACAACACATCATTAGGTCCATTATGGAAAAAGCTAAAAACACAAACAAAAAAATGATGTTTTTGTGATGATAGGTTATATATGTTGTCCATTTCTTTGCTATTAAACAAGCACAATAATACAGATGGTTATGTTTAGCTAGAATGAGCTAACAAGAACAAAAACAAAAGAATTGTATGGATTTATTATAATCAAGATTTGAACTCTGTCAAATTTAAGCTATAAATTATCTTTTATTCATACATTTCAATTTTATGATTCACTGCTTTATGAATTCATAGTTTTCCAATACAAATTTAATGGAAAGTGTTCATTTTATAGGGTAGTAAAATACAAGGTTTTAATTATCTGAGAAATTCATGTAAATTTCTATTCCGTAAGGTACTTCACAGTATCTGCTGGTATGAAAATCAATATGTAATTTTTACAATATTTCTCAAAGGTCTTTTATTCTTTCTAACCTCTTGCTCTTAGGCCTTTCCCACAGTTGTAGATGGTTGGAGCAAGTATGCAGACACTCCAGTTGGAAATTTTCCATTGGAACTGGTGACAGAGGGGTAACTCTATACATTGCTTCACCTCCTGTAATACCTCTGGACATGGGGCTCCACTATTGTCTGGTTCCTGAAGAATAAATCGCTGCCTTGACCTAGTAGGAATGTTGTCTTTGTCTGTAAAAGAACACAATTATTTGAAATTAGAAATTGCTGATCATAATCTGCCTGATTTAAATATATCTGAATTTCTATTGAATTTCACAAGCAGGCTCTCATGTAACATTATCAAGTTTACCATTAGGCTCTTACATAACTGATATAAAAAATTATTGAGGTATACTATTTTGAGTCATAACTGGTACCAGTATATCCATATAGATATATAGATTCTAATGTAGGTGACCATTAGTATAATATTTCTTTACTTATCCTTTTACACATATTGTTTCCATTTTTAAGAATTATGCATGCTATTTTTAACATTTTGAGGACTTTTATAGGTTTTTAGGTACTGTAAATTCAGAAATTATTGTGAGGTTTTTATTATTGCGACAAATGCGACAGAGTTGTAAACGCAATAATTTAAACTCGCATTTTGAAATATTTTATATGAACTAAACAGGATTTTTCTCAAAATTGTAAAAATTAAAATCGCATTTAAGTCTCAAATGACAAAATCTCAATAATAAATGCACGCAATAATTTTCTGAATTTACAGTATATATACATACAGAGCTCCAGATAAGCTGCGTATTTGCGTGATCACGCAATAAAAATAATTGAAAACCCAATGCAAGTGCCTATTGCAGCGTTCTAAAACCCAATTCATGCAAAGGAAAACCCAATAATTTGTCAAAACCATGAGTTCTTAACGCTTTTAGGCTCTATCATGTGCCTTATTTACCCTTATCTATTACATAGTCGTCGCGTAAATCTATTTTTGTAATATTGAAAATCGGAAATGTCCTTTCGTTCTAAAAATAGAGCGTTGAAAGGGTCCCTGTTGAAATTTTCCGTTGCTTAAAGGTACACGTGGTGATGAAAACATTTCGATCTTCTCTGTCTTGATCCAATTATCGTTAGTCATGTCGTCATAATTCTTCTCGTATTGCTCGGGATTTAACATTACACTTAGGAATGAATTAAAACGAAAGTAGATTTCCGGTAAAATATTGAATAGAAGCATGTTTTTAGCTTCTTTTTGAGAGCTGAGGAATTTTGATGAAAACAAGACACAGCTAGTGTTATTGCAATGGCGCGTCCAGGGCGTGTTTGCGTGCCTTAACAAGAACAGGGTTAGAACTCGTCAGAACCAGAGACATATAATACGTATTATATGTCTCTGTCAGAACTAAATCAGTTGCAACATGAAAGGCCAAATCACTTATATGAAGTCAGCATCCGAAATCAAAAGTTCTAATAAGGGACAAGTAAACCCAGATTTATGTAAATAAAATTAAACAAAAACATTGTTTATTTTTAGTTCAAGAGTAGATCTATATATAATATATATTTCATTTTAGTTGATGAGTGAACACACATATTAGTTTTGATGTAAATGTAGCTTGCCACTTTCTTTGTTTTTGGTCTATTGTTCTGTATGCCTAAGATACATGTAGTTGTCTTATTGGCAAGTGCAGTACAACATTGTCATTTATTTATTTGATGTTGCAGGATTATTTGTAAATTGAATGTGGTCTCAGTCATTAAACCACCCTATAAACCTGGTCAAGGTTTTGATGTATATATCTTAAATCTGGGAGCTACTTATTTTTTTAAAGTAGGTCTGGAAAACAGGTGATAGGGACTGGCAATACTATCTTACATCACTTAATGTTCACAAATATTACATAAAAATCTGAAAACTTTTAGCCACACCTATCCCAAATAAACTGAATGGTGATCATATGTGCTCTAGAAAGGTAATTAGGTACTGTCCTATTAGTGCCACCAGTAAATATAAGTTATGGAAAATACAAAACTTTGTGTTGAAACCAGACACAAATTAAACGTACAATTGCTTGTCAGTGTATAAACCAAATAAAACAGCTATCACATATAAAAGAAACATATTTTATCAATAAGATGGATGAACATCTCTGTTTGATAGAATGTGATTATGACAATCAGACATGCCTAAATTCAATATCGTGTTGATGAAAAAACCCAATACGTTAAGGAGCTTGGTGGTGAAAAACCCAATTTGATATTTGCTTGAGGGGTGAATTGGAATCAATAATGCAATTGAAAAACTATTTCACTCAATTAAATAAAAAATGGTGGGTAAAAACCCAAATTTTTGAATTCTTATCTGGAGCTCTGTACATATATTTTTTTTTACAAAAAAATCTTCAAATCCAATCCAATTCCAATTCTTATATTTACAGAGTGAAAAATCCTTAATTTGTAAATCATGTTCCCATGACTTACACAACTTACTAATAAAACAAGATGCTGAACAACTAGACCAGTCAGACCATGCAGTAAGAGTACAGTCCCTTGGACATGGTATCATACAAACTCGGGTTCTCTCAGGTTTGACTGACTGTGTACACCTGTAATCATAAAATGCAACTTCAAGTCTGTTTTCTTTTATCTGGTTCTTTTGCATAAAATAATTTCATATAAAATAGACAAGAAAATGTCCTACTGCCTTTGTAAATTTTAGCTGCCGTTGCTTTTTTTAAGTGAATGCATGTGTGAATCCAATTTTGTTTCTTGAACTAATACTCTATATCTATTTTTCCATCCTTACTGATAAAAGGAAAAAAGAACAGAGAAAGTCTATTTTCCAATCTTGAAAACCACACTAATACAACCAAATAAATGGCTGATCATGTTTTCTCATATATAGATATTGTCAAATATCATCTGTTGGACACAATAAGAAGCTTTCATTTTTATCATGTTTGCTTCACTCACTTGACAAAAAGATACTCACAGCGACTCCTATCTGATATTTAATATGCATAAATCCTAACAATAGTTGCAAACCGCAATGTCTACCAAATATTACATCTACACTACAAGTGTAACAAACAGTGGTGTCATTCAATTTTTGTGTATCCTTACTTTTCATCCTGTACAAGTTGGTTGTTGCGATTATAACAGTGTACACCCCTAGTCTGTCTTCCACGACCACATTTTCTATTTCTATCCTCCAGTTCACAACTTCCCCATGGATCTGCATGCCATATAAATACAGCACATTCTATGACAGTAGGACATGGTTTATTTTCTATCAGTTCTCTTTCACCTGGACATTCTGTACCACCTGTAATTTACACCATAAAATCTCTTTTTATCAGTTTTTGGTACAACTATTCGAGTTACAAAAATATATTGTTAAGAATGAATAATTAAACATAGGAGCTGGATAATTGGCCCATCCTCTGTATATCCTTTCCTTTAATTACTTTAAGTCTCATTAAATATATGATTTATAAGTCTTCCAAAATACTTGCATGTCCAAAGAGTAAGCAGTTTCATATATTAATAATAAATATTTTGATAAGGTAGCCATTTAAAATTCATGTACTTGCTTTAATCTGGTCTGAGAAATTTGCTGAAATATGCTCTCTTAATTGAAACACATTCAAGTATACATGTACTATATACAACTATTTCTCTGATTTGAGAAAGTTAAAAATGTGACATCAAAATATTTTATTTTAAATAACTTTACTTTCTGTAGAAAAAGTGGTCATCTTGTGTTAAACTGATATTTTTTTACCAATTATCTGGCTATACTCAAACTAATTATGAAGTTATGCATGAGCTTTTTGCAACATCTGAAATTTACAAAAACATTCTACTCAACTAACAATAAGGTCTCTTTCCAGGCTATAGATTTTATTTAAGTATTACCTGGTCCATGGCGTGCCAGGATTGTTTTTTGTCTTGATCTCATGTTTGGTCTATAGGAAACATCTTGTTCAGTCTCACAGATGTCTGGACATTCTGACCATTCACCCCAATCTGATGTTACACAATCATAGCGACAAGGAATCTCACATAACACTTGAGGTTCTGGTCTGGTTTCCCATGACGAGCATAAGTCATCACTCACTCTCATCTGATAACAAAAATGTATTAGTTTATATATTGCTAAATATGTTTTTGAAGATTTTCAAGCCAAAAGATTTCAATCTATATACATGCACGCCAGGGGCACATCTTCCATTTTCTTCTTCAATCATAACTTTATAATTACTCAATACAACAATGACATCACTGATCAATCTAAATCTGAAGCACGCCAGACTTCAATTATTATATCATAAAAAATTAATCATTTACAAAAAGTCATAACTTACATTTCAGCTGAGAAAAATTTCAGTTAAGGTTTGGTAAAGGATAATTATAAACTGTTCACACAGAAATATTTCTCGTCTTTATGTAATTTGGAGAGAATAATGTAATTATTGAAATTAAAACAGCAATACTCTGACATGCAAACTATGCAAAATATTCAAAGTCCATGAACAAGGACTATAGAGCAAGGCCAAATGAAGAATGCCAATGCTAAAACAACAGCATATCGAAAACCATTGACTTATCATTAATGGTTCCTTTTAAACTGACCAAGACACAAGCTTTGACATGAAAACAAAGCATAAGTTCCAAAGTCAATGGACCATGATGTGAGAGCAGGGCCATATAGTCTAATACTAATACAACTGCATACCAAATATAATTGACCTACAACTAGTGGTTTCCCATTAAACTGACTTTATCATGTTAACTATGCAAAACTTTAACATTCAATAGACCATGACTGAGGGGGTGGGGCCGAATAATCTCCTTGGAAATGAGATGTGCAAATGCTAAAACAACTGCATGCTAAATATCATTGACCTACCACTAGTGGTTTTCCATAAAGTAACCTAATCACAAACAAAGCAAAAGTTTTCCCTTAATTGATAGGTACTCCAAATGAACTTAGACATGTGGAATAAAACTTTGGCAGAAAGGTACTATGATGGTCATTGTTTAAATAGAAGCATGTACTCACATCGGCACCATCTTATTCTTACTGAATTAAAGATTTTAGACCTGCATCTTATTTCACTTGTGAAATATTTTAAAACAATCACCATTCACAATTTCATCAGCTGTGTGCAATTATGACTCAATGAGCAAAATGGAGTATCTGGAGACTGACTTTATGGATAGTGTAAATTGTAAAGATGTATCTATTTTTAATGAATGAGCTATAAATGTGCATATGAACATGGATATTACAGTCATTTTTATTGGTATGACAAATGTGAAATCTGATATGAAATTAACACTGATGATTTCAGTGACATTTGAAAAGCAGTTACTGTCAGAAATATGGAAAATCCAGCAACCATAATTTATTAATGCTTTATATATAGAAATATTCATTGTTAGAAAAGCTGGACTGTTTATAAAAGAGTAGTGGAAATGATTATAAAAGTATTTTAGGCTATAATGATTTCAAATAGCAATAAATTGCTTCGCCGAGCACAGCTGGATACCACCGCAGAGGTCCAAACCTGAACAGTTGGGGCAAAAATGGATGCAATATTCGCCCTTGATACAGGTCTGAATTTGGATTGAAATTAAATATTAGACACATAAAAGGTTTCTGACACAGAATAACTGTAGTCAAAGAACTTAGAATTGGTTATATGATTTGAATTTATATTCAATTTTTTGCTTTTGTGCAATACACTTTGCTGTTGCGAATTGACCCCCCCCCCCCCCCCCCAAAAAAAAAACCCCCCTTTTTTTTGCTTTTGTGCAATACACCATGCTGTTGCAAACCTCCCTTACACTGCTTTTAAATTGTCATAAATGTTCATTAACCATTACTTTATACATAATTTAAAAGCAGTGTAAGGGAGGTAATTTTTTTGCCCCTAATTCCTAAAGGGTTTGAGCCATAACCCCTCACAGCAAATCCTAACCATCCCTTAGTGGTATGGAAACTTGTGGTATAATTTCAGAGAGATCCATACACTGTTCCACAAGTTATTGTCTGGAAACTAGAAAAATGCTTATTTTTGGCCCTGTTTTGGCCCTAATTCCTTAACTGTTGGTACCATAACCCCCAAAATCAATCCCAACCTTCCTTTTGTGGTATTTAACCTTATGGTAAAATTTCATAGAGATCCATTCACTTAAACTAAAGTTATTGTGCGAAAACCAATGTGTCTTCAGACACCACGACAACGCCAATGTCATACCAATATACGACCGCGGTCGTATAAAAAGCAACAAATATAAATATATTTTATGCATTAAACAATGAATCTCAGTTCAGAAGATATACTCTGCATGAGGTTTCCATAAGATATGGCGGTCACATTGAACTAAAGATATACTTTGCATGAAATTTTGGTTAAACTAAACAAATCAGAAATCTTATAACCAAAAAACTGAACCATATTTTATTCATTACTCCCTACAATCAATCTGAAACTTTACTTTTTTTTTAAATTTAGGCCACATCATAATTTGGACTTACTTATTTTAATAATTAAAACAAAGATTATTGACCTGATTTAACACTTTAATGGTCCAATAACTCAGTAAAATTTTATACTAGCCCCAAGACTTCAGATACTGTTCAAGACTGATGTTATACAATGAAAGTCACATCTTGCCCACTTGTTTCTGAGAAGATTGTTAACATACAAACAACAGAGATCAATGATACAAAAGGTTTATCAAATTATGTCAACCAGAAACTTTAGGATTGTACTTTAATCTATTCTGTTTTTTGAAACAGTCTTTTTTTTTTAACATAAGTTCTTTATTGTTTTAAACACGGCATCAGCAGCATAAAACAAAATGTACTTTATAAAATAAAGAAATTGTAAGGAATTTAATCAATTTGTCATTGAATACAATAGTGTATTTTTGGATATAATTGACAATTAGATCATTCATCAACATGATGAGTTAGACGTCTCAGTGGGCTGTTTTATGTTAAAGAAATTGAGTTCTGCAGAATATCAGATGGAAGTTTCTGATATAAAAACAATAACTTGTTATCATTGTAGACTTAAATATGTTATCTTTGCAAATTGGCTTATGTATATTTCACTGATAAAATCAAGAGGTTGTACACAATATTGTGCAAGTATACCCTACTCATTGGGTAGACATGGACAAAGAACCAATACTCAGTGGGTTAAATAAAAGTTCTAAGTCATGTCAAAAATAAATATGGATAGTGTCCCCATGTGGACACAGATGATGCCCACGCTTGCATATCATATAGTTATAAAGGGGCATAACTGAAGAACGGTAAAAGTGACGCTTCCCGAATTTGAACTTGATCTGAGTGGTAATAATCATTGTGTGTAAGTCTCATAACATTTGGTTGAGGCTAACTAAAGTAGAGAACAGAAACTAAAAATTCAGCAATTTTTCTATTTGTAAACACTCTAGAACAGTTGTGTATAAGTTTTATAACATTTGGTTGAGACAAACTAAAGTTAGAGAACGGAAACGAAAAATTCAGCAATTTTTATGTTTATAAAGGGACATAACTCAAGAATGGTAAAAGTGTCGCCACCAAATTTCTTACTTAATCTGTATTATGTAGTAATAAGCATTGTGTATAAGTTTCATAACATTTGGTTGAGGCAAACTAAAGTTAGAAAACGGAAACAAAAAATTTGTACTTGATCTTAGTTTTGTGGTAAAGAATATTGTGTATAGGTTTCATAATGTTTGGTTGGGGCAAACTTAAGTAACAGAATGGAAACTTAAAATTTTGCAATCTTTCGATTTATAAAGGGGCATAACTCAATAATGGTTCAAGTGACACTACCCAAATTCAACTTGATCTGTGTTTTATCAGTGGAAGTCAAAATTAAACATTGCATTGTATAAAGCATTGATTGTAGTTGATTCAACTATAATCATGGACAAAGGAAGATAACTCCAATTTTAAAAATTACTTGATATTTAGAAGAAAATAAAATTTTTGCAATTTTTTCATTCATAAAGGGCATAAATCTAGAACGGTTAAAGTGACGCCACCAAAATTCAAACTTGATCTGTGTTTTGTGATATAAGCATTGTGTATAAGTTTCATAACATTTCGTTGAAGCAAACTTAAGTTAAAGAACGGAAACTATAAATTTTGCAATTTTTCCATTTATAAAGGAGCATAACTCTAGAAAGGTTAAAGTGACGCCACCAAAATTCAAACTTGATCTGTGTTTTGTGGTAATATAAGTTTCATAACATTTGGTTGAGGCAAACTCAAGTTAGAGAACAGAAACCAATTTTGGGACGTACGTACGTACAGATGGACAAGGATAAAACTTAATTCCCCCACCGCTACGGCGAGGGCATAAAAATTGGACCATCCTGTATATCTGAAATTCTTAATTTTATGTAACAAATCAACATTAAAAAGTTCCAGACCATATATCAAATCTTTAATATAAACTGAGTGTGTTTAGAGGGGGGTATCAATAAGCATGCACTATTTCAGGGACATTGAGAGGTTTCAGGGGATTTAACTATAGATGGGGCATTTAAAATTATTAAATGTTACATTGTCATTATGTTGGTTTGATGATGACACTATTACAATAGAATCAGGTTGCAGAATTCTGCCTGGGCAGAAAAGAACACAATCTCTTTGGGTCCCTTTCATTTTGCAAACCGTAAAGGCTTACATCAAATCTGTTGACAAACTCAAGATAGAGATTTCATAAACAAAAAATAAATAAACAAGAGTGCACACGCTGAAATGTCTCGCCTTCTTTACTAATCATTGATATTATGTTGATAGTCCTAAATATAAAGCTTTATTACAACTGTCACATAAACTTAACATTAACCAAGTAACCTTAACATTGACCAATGAACCATGAAAATGAGGTCAAGGTCAGATGAACCATGCTAGGCAGGCATGTACAGCTAACAATTCTTCCATACAACAAATATAGTTGACCTATTGCTTATAGTTTAAGAAAAACAGACCAAAACACAAAAACTTAACACTGAGCAATGGACCTTGAAAATGAGGTCAAGGTCAAATAAAACCTGCGTGACTGCCAAATAGATCATAAAATATTTCCATACACCAAATATAGTTGAACTATTGCATATAGTATTAGAAAAAAAGACCAAAACTCAAAAAACTTAAACTTTGACCACTGAACCATGAAAATGAGGTCAAGGTCAGATGACACCTGCCCGCTAGACATGTACACCTTACAATCATTCCATACACCAAATATAGTAGACCTATGGCATACAGTATAAGAAAAACAGACCAAAACACAAAAACTTAACTATAACCACTGAACCATGAAAATGAGGTCAAGGTCAGATGACACCTGCCAGTTGGACATGTACACCTTCCAGTCCTTCCATACACCAAATATACTAGACCTATTGCTTATAGTATCTGAGATATGGACTTGACCACCAAAACTTAACCTTGTTCACTGATCCATGAAATGAGGTCAAGGTCAAGTGAAAACTGTCTGACGGGCATGAGGACCTTGCAAGGTACGCACATACCAAATATAGTTGAACTATTGCATATAGTATTAGAAAAAAAGACCAAAACTCAAAAACTTAACTTTGACCACTGAACCTTGAAACTGAGGTCAAGGTCAGATGACACCTGCCCGCTAGACATGTACACCTTACAATCATTCCATACACCAAATATAGTAGACCTATGGCATACAGTATAAGAAAAACAGACCAAAACACAAAAACTTAACTATAACCACTGAACCATGAAAATGAGGTCAAGGTCAGATGACACCTGCCAGTTGGACATGTACACCTTACAGTCCTTCCATACACCGAATATACTAGACCTATTGCTTATAGTATCTGAGATATGGACTTGACCACCAAAACTTAACCTTGATCACTGATCCATGAAATGAGGTCGAGGTCAAGTGAAAACTGTCTGACGGGCATGAGGACCTTGCCAGGTACGCACATACCAAATAAAGTTATCCTATTACTTATAATAAGAGAGAATCTAACATTACAAAAAATCTTAACTTTTTTTTCAAGTAGTCACTGAACCATGAAAATGAGGTCAAGGACATTGGACATGTGACTGACGGAAACTTCGTAACATGAGGCATCCATATACAAAGTATGAAGCATCCAGACCTTCCACCTTCTAAAATATAAAGCTTTTAAGAAGTTAGCTAACGCCGCCGCCGCCGCCGCCGGATCACTATCCCTATGTCGAGCTTTCTGCGACAAAAGTCGCAGGCTCGACAAAAACACTACAACAATCTCCATTATCCCCAAAGTGAATACCACCCTTCACTTATACCAAGGTTAATTACCAGTATGAACAACATTGATTTGATTAGTTTTTACCATAATCTGAACACATTTAATTACTGTTTTGTGAAAATCATAAAAATTACATTGTAATATATGAAAGTCACATTTCAAGGTTCCTTATATAATTGAACTGCTACAAAACGTATAGAAAAGGAAAATAAATTTCAATCTACAAGCCTGGTAATTTAAAGGACAAATGCATTGATTTGATAAATAGTATCAAATAAGATAAGTTTTTAAAGGATCTGCTTTCCCTTCCTGAGCACCTGAGATCACCCACATTTTTAGGTGGGGTTTGTGTTGCTCAGTCTTTAGTTTTCTATGTTGTGTTTTATGTACTGTTGTTTGTCAGTTTGTCTGTTGGTCTTTTTCTTTTTTTGCCATGGCATTGTCAGTTTATTTTCGACTTACAAGTTTGAATGTCCCTTTGATATCTTTCACCTCTCTTTTTTAGTATTTTTCTTTTCAACATTCATATCTTTTAGAATTTATTATATACTAAATGATTTTTCCTTCATATGAAATAATTCATTTATTGTTTAATTATTTTACCTATGAAAATACAACAAATCTCTAGCATCAAACAAACAGTGTTTATGCTCAAATATTTTGTCAACCTACCCCTTTCTTATCAACACATGTTGCAGTTCTCTGTTTAATACCAACACCACAAGTTTCACTTTTACCATATCTAATCTTGGACAAACTGCAGGGACCAGATGATGTGTTCCAAAAATAACAAGGTTCTGGGTCACAGTTTTGGGTTTCACTAAGGTGTGGGCATTGTTCTCCATTTGTTCCTGGTCGTGTTAGTACTTCTCTTGTCCTAAATCGCTGCCCTATAATTACAGAATCTGAGATTTATAATGTTCTTATGGAAACATGCTACTATGTTGGTTAATTGATGTTTAACTTTAATTAAAAGGATTATATTCTTTAAAAAAATTAATACACAAAAGAAGCAATAATCCAGTAAAGTACATTTGCCATGGTGCACTGGCTGCAAAATAATAGACAGAAATAATAAGGATATAAATATTGAAACATCATAAATACCACACCAGGAAGATATAAGTCAATTATTTATAAATCCTGAAAAATTCTACTAATTATTCTTCTGGGAATCCTAAGGCTCTAAGTTAATAGGAAATATAATTGAATCTGGTTTGTTTGTATGTCATATTTATAATTGACTAAGCTTTCTATAGACCTATCATAATTTTATAGTATTATTACCATGAGAAACATGAAACAAATTATGATTTGTAGCTAAATGTAACTGTTAAGGAGAAATTATCTGGTTGCTTATTCCGGAAATCCCATATAATTTAATTCTTTTCAACACAAAATGGGGTTGGAGTGAGTTGCTAGACAATACAATACCAATGTTCACAAACAAACAAAATTTTCCAAAGAAATTCTAAATAAAAAAGATAAAAAGAAAATGGTTTCTTTTAGATATTTGTGTCATTGGCTTGCTGTTTCATTGACCTTTTACCTATATCTTCTTTTATACATACATATTTCAATACTTCAATTTTGATCTAGCTAAGTAAAGAGGAGATATTTTGCTACAATCAACAAAATAGACATCACAAAAATATCTGATTAATTATTAAATTCAAATTTTCTGTTTTTGAAACCACTGCTGAAAAAGCCTTATTTATCTGGCAGGAAAGTGCAGACTCTTCAAATAATAGCTTAAAATTCCAGTACTTGTCAAAATGAAGACCAGTAATGAGAATACTATGGTTTCATAGCTTTGTATTTTCATGTCTATATAGTACATCTCATATTTCTAAAGTAAAGTTTTGCATCTAATGCTGTGTTGACATGATAGATAATGTGACACTTTTACTAGGGTTCTTATATGCCTTCTATATTTTATGATTATATAGTTTGTTAATAAGAGGATATACAACTTTCATTTCAGACATACAAATAATATGCCATGGAATGTTTATATACAAATATCATAGTCATGTCCATTGATTTTATGAATAACGTGATTTGTGGGGTATACATCAGACAGCAAACTTTAAAAAAATTGAAATAAGAAAAGACATGAAGAAGACACCAGACGGTCTTCATCAATAAATATATATAAATAAATTTCATTCAACAAAGTGTTAATGCATTTCTCCATGAAAATATGATAAAACAACTGTAGTGCTTTCTTTTTATGTTATGAATAACAATATTAAATAGGTGCGTTGATATATCTCCCTCTAGAAAATAACTTAATGTTGATCACTAAACCAAGAAATGAGGTCAAGTTTATTTTAAGCAGTTACTGAACTATGAAAATGAGATCAAGGACAATGTACATATTTCAGATGGAAACTTCAGAACATAAGACATTAGTATATTAGGAATTATGCATCACTGTCAACTTTATGCAATATTAACCTTTATACAAAGAGTAAATGTCTTAGTAGTTACTGCTAGATAAGCATCCCTTTGTCACATTTAGTGACATTTGTCACAGGTGTGACAAAAACAAAGGATCATAATTAACAATTCCAGAATCCTAGTAATTATATTTTAATTTAGCCATTGATACTATATCAAACTGTGTTACAATATAATGATACTGGTACAACCTGATCAGATGCTACCTAAGCATACTTGAAGTTTTGTCATTAATTACTGAGTTACAAGTGGGTCAGACTAATTTATTTATTTTAAGCCTTCTCATTGACTAAAGTGTCCCTAAATTACTGATATCATAAAAAAGTCTGTAATTTTCTCATCATTATATAACTTAACAACCCATATCATAACAGATAATGGAGTTTAGTTGCATTCAATTTTGTACTTAGTTTTTCTAATACAATACATATGCACTGCTATATAAACATATTTATTTCAAGGCAACCAGATTTCATAATTTTGTTTTTTCATTGATATACATGTCATAGTTTAGAATGAAGTCAATTAACAAAACATAAATTAGACATTTTTGAGATTTTGAGTGTCTTACAAAAGCAATGAAAATCAATGTTAACATGTAAACCAGAATTTAAAGAGGCTGTTTGAGAACATTTATAACTGTTTACACTATAGAAAATATTAGAAATGGGAAAATAAGTGTTACCATGAAAATAAGTACTTTACCAGAAGTTTTATGCTGCATATTGTGTTTGCTTTGTAACATGATGACATTTAAATTTAAATATGACACTGTACATATCAATATTAGCTATAAATCCTGTTGTTCTGTAATTATGAGAGGGGCCGAGTAAAACAGGCAATATTGTTTAAACACTATAAATTGAATTCCAACATAAAGATATGCTTGCCTATAATTGCTTACATCCACTTCATTTTAACTTTGGTGGATAGTTGTCTCATTGGCAATCATACCACATCTCCTTATTTTTATATTGAGTAAAACTGCATTGATAAGTTGATGCTTCTCAAAACTATTGAAGAATCACAATATTTTGACTTCTTTCATTTTAAAAAAAGTTTTGGTACAGGCAACTATTCATTATAGTGCTCAGTTTTTCAAACAACAATGAGTATGTCAGCCAAGTCGTATTTTTTTGTTACAATGAAAAAACTTTCCTATTTCTCATTTTTACTGTAAATTAAGTTTGGTGACATTTTTGCTACTAATAATTTTATGATATAGAAGATGTATTTATATGTGTACCATCCTAATTATCACCCTGGATAATTTCCGGGACGCATGTGGCAGACAGAAGTCTTATTAGATTACATTGGAATTATTATATTATCTAATATGTCCGTCTGACCTTGTCCACTAGGTCACAGTGCAATATTGCAAAATTACAAACCGAACCTTCTTCATCATCTTTATCAAAGATTCCAGTCTGTACAAAAACGGATTCATTTCCTACGCAATGTAATTACTTCTTTTACAGTTTTTTTGGTTGCTGTAATTTTCTCTTATTCAATCATTTCACTTCTTACAAATTTATATGAATTAACAAGACACTAGATATAGTGAAACTGTCAAAACTGTTGGATGTTATATTGATAGGAAAGTACTAAAGGAGAAACACAACAAAATCAACTGATGTCAGCAAGCTATACCCTATTGCTATGGAAAATCTTTGACTGCAATCGTCCATCTTTCTTTTTTGTTCCCATTATATATTAACTTGTTTTTTGTCATATTATTCAATGATTGAATGAAATATTTGGCCTAATGAAGATCCCATTCAATATTTGGAAGCTAGTCAGTTTTAATGTCCAGTAGCTGCACCAAACTCCACACACTTCAGTTCATATCTGACATATGAAAAACAAACCTGTTTTCTGATTGTTCCTTCTCTTCCTTGCATATGCTTCACATTCAGTCACAGTACAGTCACTCCACTGTGACCACAATGACACTGTACAATCCCAGTCACAGTCTGCTGAACACAACTGTGATATGGTTGGACGAGGACTGGTACACAAAGAATCGTCTACTGGTTTCTGGTCACCACTTTCTATAAAAAAATTTACAATTAAACATACATGGACTTCAGTATTTAGTATATATTTATTTGAAGCTGCATTTTTACTATCACATTAGAGTCATGTGTAATTTTTTGTAAATTTTATGCATTCTAAAACCATTAGCCATAAAATTGAGAATGGAAATGGGGAATGTGTCAAATAGACAACAACCCGACCAAAGAGCAGAAAACAGCCCAAGGCCACCAATGGGTCTTCAACACAGCAAGAAAATCCCACACCCAGAGGCGGCTTCAGCTGGCCCCTAAACAAAAATGTGTACTAGTTCAGTGAAAATGGATGTCACACTAAACTCCGAAACATATAAATGAACTAAAATTAAACAAACATTTATACACGACTAACAAAGGCAAGAGGCTCCTGACTTGGGACAGGCGGGGTTAAACATATTTTTGGGAGGTCTCAACCCTCCCTCTATACCTCTAGCCAATGTAGAATAAACAAACACACAGCAATATGCACAATACATTGACTATGATTCCAAACATAACTTTACATTTGGGAAAAATTGTTTGAAGTTTTAAAATATTCAATTTCCATTAGAAATTAACATATTTGGTCTACTTGGGATGGCTCACTATATAAAAAATTCAAATCTTTGCTCTTACTCTATAATTTGACATTTCAATTAACAATTACTCCAAATATTTTAAATTAAAGAAAACAAAAACCTTACTGGCCAACTTTTCAAAAATAAGTTTGATATACTCAAATGCAAGCTATCAAAATGCCGATAACTTCTTTCATGAACTATATGCACATAAAAAATCAAATAGCATAGCAGTTTCCAGTCTTTAAAAAAAACATAAATAAAGCTCTCTGAGAACCTGTTTTTAACATAGGAGGGGAATAAAATAACATGATATCCCCACTGCAAAAAGGCCACATTCCTAATCCAAAGCCTTCTTTTTGATTGCCTTTGTTGTGAAGACAAATATTTTTAACTATAAAATTTATCTTCTGATTATTGGAAGTCCCAGAATTGACGCAGGTGGTGTTGAAGGACAGATCCATAAAAAAGGAATCAATTTGATAATTCAAGGGTTCAATGAATTCTAGGCAGCCTAGCAGTTCATATGTTATAAATGCGTTAAGTCAAGCATTAATCAGATAAACAATACCTAAAAAAAAGCCCTCAGAGCAACAGGGTTTTGGAATTATACAATGATTCATATGGAAATACTTTTAAATGATGGGTAATTATCTATTAAAGATCTATATACCTGCAATAACACAGAAAAAAAAATATGTACTTGATAAAACATCCCTTTCTTCAGGCAACGTAATTAGCAGCTTCAAAATCCTAAAATATATCTTTGATCAGGGACAGTTTAGAATAATTAATGGCCATGCTTACAGAGGACTGAACTTTTAGTATAATTAACTGGTTTTTAATGGATCTCTTCAACACATTGTTTATTGTATAGTTACTGGGTCAATCTTATGTACCAGATACAATTGGCACGTATACCTTTTGTATAACATTTTTACACAGTTCCAAAAGAGATTACTGTAGAACAGTTTATCCATATTTATTCCCTAAACATATAAAATATGCAGAAAAAAATCACCTTTATTAGAACCTTATTTTTTTAGAGCTAGATTGTCCCATACATAGATGTATAAACCCAATAATAAGTTTTTAATTGAGCATTTCATCAAAGCCCGGTTTTACAATCAGATGGTAGATTGTGTGCATTTTTGGTAGTACGAAATATCCCCGCCATACATCTATGATTGTCCATAGAACAAGGTCCTGTGGAAGCTATACAAACAAGAAATGATTGTAACAGGATGAGAAGAAGAAGAAGAAGAAGAAGAATAATAATAATAATAAGAACTGAGCAAAAACAATAAGTCTTCCCAAACTTCGTTTGGGAGACTTAATTAGTAATGATTTAGGTTATCTATTAAACAATAGCCTAAAGGTGGAGAAATGAAGCTATTGTAGGACCACCTCCAGTAAATCTGGTCAATATACTTTCTACAGAGATTTATTGATAAAAAAAAAGGTAAGATAATAGGCCGTTGCTCTTTTTTGGCCCTTGAATTTGAAAATCAAAAAGTATATCATATCTAACAAATAACATAGTTCTGATGTTGACATGAAAATTGTCTGTCGAATAAAAGTATTTTTATCCTTACATATTTGCTTTAAGGCTTCAGTTTTTTGCTTTTAATGCAAAACTACAAAAATATCTACATTTTGAGATCTTCACGTTAACATAGTTTTGAGCAAAGGCCCTTACCAAAAAACATATTTTACTACACAATAACTGTGTCAAATTTTAACAAGTTTATGACATCACAAATGAAATTTACTATGAAAGTGTCCAGATTATAAAACCCTATTCATTTATCATTAAAAGTAACATAATTAAGAAAGGATTGAAGAATTTCCCTATTTTTCCTATTTCAAGGGCCAAATAATGTCTCTTATAATACCTTCGTATTGGTCAATAACATTTTGTTCCCTTTAAAATGGATTACTAGAATATATTTCTACAATTTTTACCATTTTCCTCCACACATATAGCTTTTCTATGCTGCATTCCTGTTGTACACTGTAACCCTCCATTTACAGACAGACACTTACTCCAACTTGATGTCAACCATTTATTTCTGTACAAAAAAAAATTCCTTTAATCATTAAATGTTCCCATGCAGCAACCAAATATTTAGTCAAACCTGTATATGAATGTCACCATAGGAACAAGAGAAAACTGACCTTAAAAGACAGATGACCTTTGAATTGAGGTTCAAAATGCATAGGCATTACTACTCAGATGTGGATCCAGGATTTTAAAAAAGGGGGGCCCATGGGTCCCAAACAAGAAAAAATTTGTAGTGGCACTGGAAAAAAGTCAGGATTAACCATAAATGAAGCTCCATAAGGGGGGCCCTCACCCCCCCCCCCCCCCCCCCCCCCCCCCCCCCCAATCCGCCCCTGCTACAGTTGGTGAGGAAGAAGGCCACCTGACAAGAGAGATAACCTTTATAGCAGGTTTGACTGTTTTATCTTCCATTGATTTAAATAGTTATGTACATTCTACAATTTGAAATGACATAAACCAACTTGCAAGAATCAACTATTGCGATTAAGGTTAAGTAAATGGGACTACCAAAGTCAGAAATTCACCAATAACCAACAAGAGAATTTCTCTAGTTCATTCAGTGTAAAGAATACTCTACAACCCTTTTCAGATCATAACAAAGTAATTTTAATGTGAAAGGTAGCCTACAGCGTTATATGGCAATTGCTTAAGTTATTAAGTTGTTCAAGCTATACTTTCAAATTAATATTTGTCTGATGTCCCACCTTTTTAAATACGGTTTTTCGTAATATACAAACAAATTCTACTAAAAATATATCAATTGATAAAATAAAAGCCAATGTGTAAGTGTAATAATTCCTTGTTATATGACATTAAAGGAAGTAAAAATAATATGAAGATTTTTTTCATGTTAAATTAATCTAAATTTACATATTTCATAAAATACTCTTGCACTATAGATATAAAGTACTTAATAACTTTACATAAACATCATCTACAAAAACATTGAGTAATTAGAAAGATCAAAACTAATAGGATATCTATGTCACAATATGTCAAATGTTCGTATCAAAGGAACTTTTTGTTTCAAGTGTTAAGTGCAGCATAAAAAATCTGTATATGTCCTACACAGGAATGCCTTGATTAAAGATGCATGAATTTTTGTATCATTAGCGAACAGCCTCCCATAACTAATGTTAGGATTACAAAGATGTACCCCTTACTGCTAAATGAGTTCTTCTGTTTTCGTCTCATGCAATATTAATCTACACTATGCAAGCTAAAGTTAGCTGAATAGTAATTATTTTTCAGAAATTTTTCAGTAACAAATTAGACCACAACAAATGAAACCACTGCTGACTAGATCCTACTAAAGACTACAGTTTAATCAGTTATGTTAAGTTGTCAAACAAATCGATCGGACATTTTACCTGATGGTATATATCATTCTAATAACAAAATAAAAGTACAAATATTTAACCAAGAAAATGATTAAGTGCTTAACTTTTTAAATTAGCTTTCAATCATTTAATTGTGAACCAAATAACATCAATTATAAAAATTATTGAAACAAATTTTCAAACTGTAAATGTATTTTGTATCTCTATACTTAGTTTCTCTTTTTGTACAAATGATCTTATTTTGAATGGCTGCTTTCTACAATGTCACATGAATATTATCCATTGGTCTTGACAATAACCAATTTGAATTTGAATCCATTAAATGAAAAGTATGAATATAAGTTGATATGAGACAAGTATGATAACAAGATATGCAAGGAACAGCACTGTTATTGGAGTTCTTCATCTAGATACTGACTAAAAGGTCTTCAACAATCTGCAGAACTGCTCACTGCACTGTGAATGTCCTTGTAATTTTTTTATTTTTTTCTATTATCTGTTAAACTTTCACCTTCAACACTAATCTTGACAATCAATGTCAAGAATCAAAACCATAGAAAGTTAAGACTAAAACATGTATTGTACTCAAGCTATGTTGTTTATAAAGAGGTGTAGCAGATCTGAATGAAAGGATAAACACATGAATGAAGGCATCATTGCATCCCTTTTGCAACTGGCTAAAGACATGTTGTTATAATATCTTGTAAAATGTCAACATATATGTAGACATACCTGGGACAGTATCTTGATTTGTCAGATGTTCCATGAACTGCTGTGGTCTCTACTAATGGTGGACAAGAAGCTCCAAGTCCACGAGGTAATTTTCTCACTGATCTTTCTCTCTTCATCAGTCCAGGTTTAGTCCATCCAGACTCCAACAGACAGCTACTGTTAACCAACTGCCATGGAGACCACTCGGAAATTTCACAATTTTGGGGAATGATGCATGACTGTCTATCAGTAATGATTTGACCTTGAAGATTTATATGTTCTTTACATCTTCTGAAAATTGAAAATTATGACATGAAACAGTAGAGTCATATTTCAGGCAGTTCTTTTAATATGCATGTAATTGGTATCTGGCTTTGGAAAATCATTTCTTTTGCTAATCAAATTTTCATGTAGACACTTTTTCAAAATACATAAAGTCAAAAATACAACAGAATACTAATAATAAGTGCCTTGAACTAAATGATCCAGTATCTTAACTTTTCTACAAATGCTGTAATGGCAGAGAAACTGTTGGATGATATCAGGATGCATTACACATACAGGAAGTCAGACCAGGGTCAAAAGGGAACCATAATGTGTATTCAAGTTTTTATGTAGAAAATGCATAAACTCCAAATTTTGTTTTTTGTTGGAGGTGGAGGAGTGGGGGTATTTTAAGACAGCATCTTGTTCTGAATCTGTACATAATTCTCTGTTGGCTATATTGTTTTTATTATTTGTATCCCTGAAATTTAAAATAAGATTTTACTATACTGGGTTTAATTGGTATAAGTAAATGTATCATCATTAGCAAATTACTCTTATGATTTTTTGTAAATCAGAAATATTTCTATCATTATCTAATTAAAGTTCTTATCAAATGAAATGTTCTGCTTAAAAATTGAAATGATATTTGATTAGACCATCTTTTTGTTTTCCAAGTTTTGGAAATGACAAATAAAACTAGAGTATAGTGATGGAAGACTCACAGAGGCCACACAGCATGTAAATAAGTCAATTGTGATGCAATTAGAGTTATTCAATGTAATTGTATATGCACAAGGGTGTTTAAACACAACTAACTTTTTTACCATGATCATCAACATATGGTTTCCCTCAATATACATGACACATCTTTTAGTATCTAAGTGAATAACCACATCAAGATCTCCAAGGTGTTTAAAAGTTAGAAAGCACAACTTTCTTTGTAGGATTTAAAGTCTTCTGTTAGTGCAACACACAGAGTACTGGTAAATAACTATGCCAAGTTTCATCTCTGAGAGCAGAAACAATTTTTATACATGTGCTGAGGGGTGCATGCCCTGTTAAACTAAGTTTGTAACCACGATTTTCAGTGTACAATTATTTTCCTCTTACCTGACGCTAATTGTGGTATTGGCAAATAATCATGCCATGTTTGATTAAAGCAGAAAATATTTGAAACAGACTCAGGTGCATTGGAAAGATAATGCATATTAAAACATACTGAGAAAACTTACGTATATGGAACAGTAGCACCAATGGAATCAATACAGCTAACACTACGTTCTTCACGACCTATTAATGAATGTGTGGGATAATTTTCGGGAATGTCCATGGTATGACAGGGTGACCATCGTCCTAAATAAATATAATATACATTTGAACAATTAGTACAGGGTTCAATTTGTGAAAATGGCGGACAATCCTTTCCACCATGATCATCTGGAATGACTACTATCCTAGTTCGAGTCTGTGCAATTTTTTCACACTTATCACAGCTTGACCAAGGACCATACGGGGTCACAATACAGTCTTGTTTACATTGCAAATCACAGCTTTCGCTTGTAGCAGGCTTTGGTTCAAATGATGCACAAATGCTGTCATTCTGCAGCTTGCCATCTGATTTGAACACACAGGTGACATTACGATATCTAATGCCCATTCCACGGGCACATGTTTTAACTTTTGGTATAAGCTGACAACGACCCCATGTGTCTGCTGCCCATGTGACCTGATATTGATCTCTGATGCATTTTTTGTAGCACTGACGTTGTGAAATGGGACGTGGTAAATACCGACAGTTTTCTTCCTCAGCATAACTGAGTTGTCCCTTTCGATCTTGGAACAAACAACTGACATGTCGATCTTGTTGTCCATTAAGGCCACATTCTCTTGCATTACATGAGCTCCATTCACCTGTAAATTATAAAGAAGTTTGTTACTAAATCAATGTGCTACACTAAGTCTATATGTATTAGTAAAAAAACATTCAGATAACATTTTGATATGGTAGTCCATCAGCTTTTGAATTTGGTTGTTTGGTACTAATAACATAAAAAAAAAAGAAAAAAGTTTGTTTTCACTTGGTACTTATTTGAATAATGAAAACTGGCACCACACTAAAAACCTTGAAATCTATGACGACTGGTAACCTACCAATAATGCAATCTATATTTACCTCGTAAAAAAACTGGGGGAAGATACCAAGGAGGCAATAAAAAACAATCACTTAAAGAAATAAATGGAGAATGTGTCATGGGACCCAGATGATGCCTGCATTGATTGCATATAACGTTATAACATTGCATAAAGGGACATAACTAGAGAACAGTAAAAGTGACGCAACCCAAATTTGAACTTGATCTGTGTTATATGGTAATAAGCATTGTGTATAAGTTTCATAACATTTAGTTTGAGGAAACTAAAGTTAGAGAAAGTAAACCAATTTTGGGACGTACAGATGGACAAGGATGAAACTTAATGCCCCCTCAGCTATGGCAGGGGCATAAAAACGACACAACCATGGTAAAAAATCAGGACTGAACTCAGGAGGGTCATCAGTTTCTGCTCCACTAATGGCACCTGTGTAAAACTGTTGATGAGTCATTACTGATGATAAAACATTAAGGTAAATACTTCTTGATGGCCAAAAGTGAAAGTTTCAAAGGGAAAGGAAAGACAAGACTAATATAAATATAGAAACAGAAACATTGGAAAAGTAAAAATCACAAAATACAACAAAGATAACTTAAAATAAAGAAGAAGAAGAACCCTTTTAAATAACTACGGATGAACCCAAATGCTCTAAAATGGTAAGAAGTTTATGATCCGCTAGTGGCAAATGTCATGTTGCAATTGGCAAGAAAAAATCTGTTCAGATTTTAGTTGCATTTGGCTAATCAAAATCCAGGAAAAATAGGACAGAATTATGGCTATAAGGGGGACATATCCATGGTCATCCAGCTGTGACACAGATATTCCATAGTGGTCAACCAAATCATTATGACTTCTGTAAAGCTTTTAAAGAGATGACTTCAGCTTTACCATTCAAAATCATTGGTAAATATCTTCCTTGTAAGCAGCAACTATATATCAAGCTAGGAAATCATGAAAGTAAACACAAGACCTTGAATATCCCATCAACTGAAAGATATATATATACTCCATATGTAGATGCTGTTGGAATGTTATTTAACATAGAGATGGAAATTACAAAATTGTTTTCATTATATAATTCAGTAAAAAAAAAAATAATTTAACTTAAAGAAATATAATTTTGCATGCTAAAATATTTAGTTGTGGCACACATTTAATGTCATTAATTTAAAAGATGCTTTTAAAAGAAGAAAACTCTCTTAAGTCACATCAAAAACACAGCTACAGAGGGAGCAGTCTTCCCAATAATATAGATACAATGTACCATTCAGAACTAATCAGATCAAAGACATAACGCTGTCAGTAATCTGGCAATTAAGGTAACACGATTCATATAAAATGATAATGAACTAAGAGGATCCTTAAGTAAAAGAAATGGAGAACAATTTGTAGATGCTTATGTTGTAATAATGACGTCTTCTATGATGACAAAGTACTGATCATTCTGTTGAGAGTGCCAGGAACAGAGTACTAACATTCAATGTTATGACTTCAAAGTATACATCTAAATATCATGACTGTACTGTGTGGCATTATTAAGTTAACTTCAATATTAGAGTTTATCATTTTAGTTATTAAACAAGAATTTGTCCATAGGAAGCCATGCCATGCTTGTTTGAAAAAATATTGGAAGGAAATTTGATCAAAAACAGACGTGGCGATCAAAACTAATTGTATAAGCTGATGATATTAGCAACTCTTATAAAACTGTCATAGTAACTACCATTACATTGTCTACAGTCAAACCTCTAGAGTACAGTTATATAATTCTTGTCTGAGCTATACTCTTTAAACATCATGCACAGTTATAATAATCACTATGTTATATTCAATAAAGCATTTAAATTTTGAACTCTCAAATTGAATCTGATTTTGTAACCGTTTTACAAAAGCAATAGTTTCTTGGAAACTTTGAATCTCAGGAAGCTTAAATATTTTGAAGTACTGTAAATTCAGAAATTATTGTGTGCATTTATTATTGTGATTTTTGAAGAATGGATACAAATATGAGGCTAATTATTGCCATTTCAGGAAAAACTGAATACAGATATATGTATCAGATATCAGAATGTGAGTTCTAATATTGCGAAACTCTACCAGTAGCATTATTCGCATTAAATAAAAACCTCACAATAATTTCTGAATTTACAGTAGTTGCTAAGTCTGATACATTGCAACTTTAAAGTCTCTGTAATATCTAAATAACTTAAGATTAAGAAACAATGATACCAGGTTCTTCCAAGCTAATCATTTTTTGAACTGAAATATAACTTGCCTCCATTTTCTTAATTTTGTTTTATAGAATAAGAAATAATGGGGAAAAAACAGTGAATGACATCCAAAAATTATATAAGAAAGTGCCTAAACGTATTATAGATTAAGTCTAAAATCCACTGAATAACAAGAGTTTATATGTAACTAATCATATGCACTAATTAAAAATAAACATTAGCATCAAGTCATTTAAGATTCCAGTTTTCTGCCAAAATATCATTTGTTTTATATACATCTACTACGGTTCTAAAATTTGAGAAACTGAGGCAATTCTGCTCCCACTAATAATTCCTCTTCAATTGTTTTGTTATTCATATCTTAGAGTTTCAATGTACAAAAATGTAGTATGAATGAGATATTGTCTTTTCTCCAATTCTTAGCCTATTTTTTGCCTTCCCAGACGGGGTGGGGCTTGTCATTTTTACATCGCCATGACCTTGAGGTCATGCTGATGTGTTGCTATCGCCTAGATTTCCATTATGTAAATTAGTTTTGGGTTTGTAACCGATCTATAAACATGATAAATATGCGCACATAAACGAGTGCAAAATAACATTCCTTATCGTTTGATATAAATACATCTCTTCAATGAATACTGATAAAAATATTTTTGTTTACAACATAAATTAATAATATGAAAATGTTTAGTAGTAAGATATATATATATAAGTAAAAAATCATTGATAATATCAATGCACACGTACCGAAAAATTGTGTTAAAGCATGCGGAAGAATATATCAAAGAACGTTTTGCGACAATACCGGCAAGGACCGGTAACTCTGTAATTGTTTTTGCACGAAAATATGAATGCCTACTCGTATCCAATCTTAGAAAAATCGAATTTTTACAGAAAAGTGTCCAACATGCACTTGCATTGCACTATTATTAGAATAGTAGAATAGAATGATATACAAATGGATGCAAATCATATGCATATGTAACTGTTATTTTAATATAATATATAACAACAAATCAGTGTATACTGATCTGTATCCTGACTACAATATAATAGTTATTACGGTGAAGTTGAATTTTCTGTCATTTATTCATCATCCACTCACAAACTTGTCTCAGAAAAAAATACATCTCTGTACATTAACCTCAGTTTCAGGTAAAGAGATATGTTGTTTTTTTCTGAGACAAGTGCTTTTGACCATCCTCAAGAACTTGTGGTCATCCGATGTTCAGTACTTCAGTACTTTGATTATGAAAGTAAACATGTGATTTGATAACTTTTCATCAGTACTTCATTGGTCAAAATCCAATGACAATTTAAAATATTCTTTTGAGTTTCTATTGCAACTTCATGAAAATAGACTTCTATGACTGGTGAAAAAAATACAGAAGACACACAAAGATAATGGAAAATGAATGGTAAGGTTTGTTTACTTATCATCTAAAACTCAGAAACATACTACCACTATTTTTCATGTCCTTTGATATTTCTCCACACAATCACATTTTCAATATTTAAAATGCTTTACATTCAAGCCTGAGACACATTTCACAATTAAAATTTCACTGCCTCGTGTATCACACTCATAGTACATACCAGTATTTCAGGTCTAGAGGAAGACATAAGATATTTCATATAGACACCAGTCTATCATTGAACCCTGTATGTTGACCTCTAGATGTCTTATTTGGTTTTATTGTGTTTTTGATGTATTTCCCTGGACACCTCATTTAATTCATAACCAATGCATTACTGTTAGAACTGAAGAACTGCATGTCAGTGGAATAAAACTGTCACAATTTAATGAACTAAGTAATAAACTTGCATCTCAGCACTTGTTTTATGATCCTAATAATAAGATCATCATTATCAAATCTGACTGTAAACCATAGGTTTTATCAAGGTTGGCCAAAAAAATTAAATCTATGCTAAGCTTTTGCAGACACATCAAATCTTCAAGTTTATAGGAGGAAAAAACAATATGACAGATTATATGATACCATTTTTTTATGGTTCTTTATTATATATAACAATAAGAAATAACTGGGAAAAACACATTTTACCCGATTTCAGTCTATCAATTGCTGCTGTGACATTCACTTTTGACCTATTAATCACAAAATAAATAGATGTCTGCCTGAATCCATAAGGCATTATAACTGGACATCTTGTAACCAAAATGTTGCCTTGCATATACATGCATTAAGCTTTGCTTTATTCTAATTTTGAGCAGCCAAAACTTATTTGAATGAGTTTTAAAAATGATGTTAAAACCAGACAAGAACAATTGACAAATACAGCAAAAATAGTAATGCATCAAAATTCAAAATTTACAACTCATAGTTTGACATAACAGGTAAACATTAGCTCATTAGGTAGTAAACATTGTGCACTCTAGATCTGTTAGTGCCCCCCCCCCCCTCCTCCCTCCCCCCGAATCATTTTATCTAATGAGATGACATGCCTTTTAAAAAAAGGATGATAGTAAAAAGACTACTGTAAAATGAAGCACATTGTATATATATTTTG